ATAATCCAAAACCCCATTTTCTACAAAATAAAATATTGTACCCATTATTCAAATAAAACAGTGTTGGTCTAAATTGTTTTACCATTTAGTGACATTTTTTGTTGACCCTGTATAATTAAACAGTAAAAATACCGTTTTGGTAAATTGATACAGGTTTGTTGGAAAGTGAAACCGCAGATAACCCTTTCGGCCGACGGGCAATCAGATCGTTAAAATCCGGATTTATTTTTCACAGTGCACCTGTATTGTTACACTTAGAAAGAATTATGTATGTTCTAAAGAAAGTAACGACCTTGCAGGCGATCAAATTTTTTTTCTTGGCCTTTGTTGGGTTCATTGACAGAAAATCGCTGGAAAGGTTTTAGTTTTTTAAGATAGAAGGTACTTAATTTTTTGGATTGATAAGATTAAAAAATAATGAGTTTTGGTTTAACCATGCATGGATTACGATAATTACAAATTTGTACGTAGTACTGAAAGTAAACAACAACAACAACAAAGGTATTTTGATAAAAATGTCTAGTTTTATCAAATTTATCAGAATTTCTGAAAAAAAAATGTTCACCTATTTGGTGGCTTAATACACTTTTGTTTGATTCAAATGTCCATTTTATTAATGAATTTATTAAAAACTTAATTTTTATTTTTATCATTATTAAGTAAAATAAAATATAATGATATTTAATAATGATACAAAAAGTAAAATTTTTAATAATAAATGGGTATTATAATCGAAGAAAAGAGAAATGTATTATTTGTTGGAATATTAGAATATTTAATATCATCGTCATTATAATTACAATTCTTTCACTTTAATAAAGTTACTTATACAGGTAGTACCTATTTATATTTTTTGCATAATAACCATTTGCTATTATTTAATATTGAATTATCTTGTGAAACCACATTTTCTATTTTAATTCATGTTACTAAATTAATAATAATTAGATATTGATTTTGCTGGGTACCCAGTAAACACAAGTTAGCCGGCCCTAATAATACCTATTTGGTTATATTTATTTTGTATTAAATATTCTTAAAATCAAATTCATACACTTTCAAAATTGCCAGTTTTCAAGAAGTAGTTTATTTTCCTACTCGTTAATTTTTTAATTCTTTAAAAATAAAATATAATATACAGGGTGTTACATATACATATCTTAAAACTATTAATTGTAAGTAAAGTTTGTACGTTGTAAGTTTGATAGCGTAACGTCATCGCTCGACAACGGTTGGTAATGCATGGCTGATGACGTTGCGGTATCAAGCGTTCGAAATCTATATTACCAAAATTATAATTATTGCAATACCTACATCTACATTAGTACTATGTAGTATTAGTATATAAAATTTGAATTTTAAGAAAATATAATAATAACCAATGATAACTTGTTATAATCCAATAAGGATACAGGTAATTAAATAATATAATCTCTCCATTAAAAGACTCACTTTTAAATGAATCATCCATGCCAGCTATCAATTAATAGAAATTCAGGTTGTAGAATAAATTAACTAAAAAATTTACTCAACTTTCCCCACGTTTTAGAAATACCTACTTTAAGTCATAACTTACCGTCTAATTACTAGATCATACAGTTCGTTTTGCATGACAACGTATTCAGATAAAAAAATCTAGACGCTTCCATAAAAGGCATATATGTTAACAGTTATTTTCCTCCTAATAGGAAATTAAAATGTTTCTGCTGAACTTGTGTGTTCAATTAGGATTACAATGTAAATAGAAAATAATTACCAATAGAATAGAAAAATTCGGTATCATCTTCACATACTAAAAAAATCCGCATACGAAATCACACAATTCACCAATAACATTTAAACGCGCGACGGCGGTGTGCCTCATGGTACTCTGCTTGCACGGCTGAAGACAGTTGAAGATCGCGTCGTGACTTCCTGGCCTACTGAGAGAACGGTGGACGGCTTCGACGACGGCGGCCGCGCGAGAACTGCTGCCGAACAAATGACTGTGCAGTGTTTACCTGCGGGAAATTGGGTCTTTGCAGTCATCTGTTCGAAACCGTAAAGAAAAAGTATGTCGAAGTGTTTGCGAGTTTTTAGGGCCGTCTACACATTCCACTGGTATCTGCATTTTTGTAAAGTATCTATCCGTAGAAATTTTTAAAAAAATAATAAAAATATTAATACAATGATTAAATGTTAAAAAATAAATGTCCCAGGCCAAGGGAAGATAATATACGCATTTAGCTATAATATATAAGACCGTAAAATAATAAGTTTTTAACCTGCTTTGGCCATAAAAATTAATAGGTATTATGTTAAAAATATTTTAGAAATTTACAAAAATGGTTTAATACAAACTAATATTGTAAAAAAGCATATTCATTCTACAGTGTGACTCGAAATGGCATTATTAATGCATTACATGGCAAAAACACAATTAAAAACCCTAACTGAAAACTAATCGTCAAAAAATATGTTTTGTATTCTAAAAAATAACCTCCTAGGGTTTATTGTGATAGAGCTCTATCACCGTGATAGTATCACGTTATATGATGTCCTTTTTTTATTTAATAACAATAGTTGCATATTGCGATAAAGTAATTAATGGTAGAAAGAAGTACTATATATAGTATAGTACTATAAAGTACTATATATACACTGCCCGTCAAAATTAACGGATAATAAGTAAAAAAATTCTAACTCTAAAACGCCTTTACCAATTTTTATAAAATTTTGGATAAAAATACTTTAACTTATATCTCAGTTTACGTTTTCAAGGGTTTTTCGAAAAAATATCCTTAAAGCCCTTTTATTTATTATTAAAAAAACGCTCGAAAAAAAACTTTTATAGGGAATTTTTTTAACTATATAAAAAATATGCTGTTAAAGACCGTATTTTTGTTAGTATACCCTGAACATTTTGTACAAATCAAACAAACAGTAACGAAGATACAGCGCTTCAAAGTCGGTAAAAATGACCACTTTTCAGCAACATAATCAAAAAGGGGTCATTTTTACCGACTTTGAAGCGCTGTATCTTCGTTACTGTTCGTTTGATTTATACAATATTTTCAGGGTATACTAACAAAAATACGGTCTTTAACAGCATATTTTTTATTTACTTAAAAAAAATCCCTATACAAGTTTTTTTTCGAGCGTTTTTTTAATATTAAATAAAAGGGCTTTAAAAATATTTTCTCGAAAAACCCTGTATTCTTATACAAAATTTCATAAAGATTGGTAAATGCGTTTTAGAGTTTTTTTTAGAATTTTTTACTTATTAATAATAATGCGTTAATTTTGACGCGCAGTGTAGTATATATACACATATATGAGCATATTCATATATATGAATATGCTCCACACCAAAAAGTCCCACTTTGACATTTGAATATATAATTATACAGTATGTCTCAGTATCTTGGAATCATATGGAAAACTTTTTTATTATTAATTTTAGGAAAAAAAGTTATTCTTCATAAAAAGTTCTGCATGGTGTAAAACTTAAAATGCAACCCACAAATATTAATTTTTTTTAGTCGTATACGGGGTATGTCAAAAAATATGAATTTGGCTCAAGAGTAAAGTACCTTTATATTTAACAATATCGAAAATTGTTATAAAGAAAAGTTAATCAGAACTAAAATCTACGTTCAAATATGCAATTACATCCATTTACATTAAAAAAAAAATATTTTTTCTTTTTTGTCTACAATATCAATGCAAATTTAATTGTAACATGTAATTTAGGATTCACTGATAAACAAATGATTTGTTGATATTCTAATACTTTTTGGCCTGCTAGATCCCCTGACTTAACTTAAGGTTTTCATGTTTTTTCTAATCATAACAGATAAATGTTCATTTAAAATAGAAAGATTGGTAAAAATTAACAAAACCTAATTTTTTAATGTAAATGTATGAAATTGCATATTTAAACGTAGTTTTTAGTTCTGATTAACTTTTCTTTATAACAATTTTCGATATTGTCAAATATAAAGGTACTTTACTCTTGCGCCAAATTCATATTTTTTGACATACCTCGTATATGACTAAAAAAAAATAATATTTGTGGGTTGCATTTTAAGTTTTACACCATGCAGAACTTTTTATGAAGAATGACTTTTTTTCCTAAAATTAATAATAAAAAAGTTTTCCATATGATTCCAAGATACTGAGACATACTGTATGTTAACATAAATCGGGGATCAAAATGAATTAACTTACCTTAACTGTCTCATTGCAAACAAATATGTATGCTATAGTACTACCAATTTATATTATCTATATTATAAATAAGATTTCGAATATAAGAGTTTGAATCTTGATTTTTTATCCAAAATTGTAAATGTGAAATCGAAAATTTCCTATTTTAGATTGAAAATTTATCATTTTTATTTTTTCATCTCTGAATTTTTATTTTTGAATAAGAATGTATATTTCCTATTCAAAATTTCAGACTTTCGATTTCGAGTTTATGATTCTATAGAATCTATAGATTTGTAATTTTAAATTCACAATATTTAATTCCAAATTTTGAGTTCAGAAATTTGAAAAAAAAAGAACACACTAGAAATATAATATCAAGCAGGCAACGAATATTTATTAAAACAAATAAACAAAAATTTTATTTTTTTATATTGAACATTTTTCTTATATTTAGATAAAAAAAATTCTCTTGTCACTTCTGGGGGCCCACTGGTGCTCGGGGCCCGGTCTCAGAAACCGGTAGGACCGGTGGTAGTTACGCCACTGACTTTGTATAAATTTGCATTATGCAGGGCTATTTTTGGGTAGGAATTATAATAGTATACTACTTATGGAAACTTTGCGCGTTTAATAAGTCATCTCAGAATAATAAATAATTATTAATATTATTATTATTTAAATTTATTAGCAAATTCACAGTTGACGTAGTCTTAAAACCGATTTAGAAATAAAATTGTCTACATTTTTCAATGTCTATCATTTTTCTACGTCTCGCCATGCTCATGGTACTTTTATTTACATCTGTCAAATGCCAAGTAAACATAACCTATACAATGACCTAAGAATCTCAAAATTAATTCTAAAAATTCCAATATAAAATGCATAAAAAAAACATTATGAGCCAGAACAACACGGTTCTAAGTTACAAGGAGAGTTTACTACGTGAGTCAGATGTCGATTTACTAAAGGGCCCCTATTGGCTGAACGACACGATAATATCGTTTTATTTTGAATATTTGGAGACTGAAAGGTTTAAGAACAAGAAAATGCTGTTGTTTGTGCCTCCAGAAGTTACACAATGCATTAAAATTGCTCCTGAACAAGAAATACATGTGTTTTTAGACCCTTTGCTTGCAGAAGCCAATCGAAAGTTCATGTTTTTTGCTTTGAATGATCATGAGCTTACTGAATCATCTGGAGGGTCACACTGGAGTTTACTAGGTACTAAATAAATACTAATTTACACATTTAAAACTTTCCATGACCTTATTTCAGAAACTGAAATAATATCAAACTTTTCTATTTAAATACATATAGATGTACATCTACCTTTCTTATGGTATTTCATTTTAAAGGTCTTAAAAAACTTTTTAATAGACAAAGTTTCATTTAATAATAAACAAAACTTTTAGTAAACCTAAATCTGTCCATATTTATACCAAAATAAAAAAAATTAAATGTTTATATTAAAATGGTTGACAGGGTGTCCCTGTACATTAACTTAAATTTTTATAAGATTTAGGAAAAAAGAATAACATCTCCGTATTCATTTCTAAAATAAAATCATTAAGAAATATAATTTTGTTTGAAAGTACAAAAACCATTTTTTACTTAACACATCTTTTTAGTGTTTTCCCGCCCAGAAGGCTGTTTTTTTCACTTTGACTCCTCAAACGGAACAAATCACCAACAAGCCTATGAATTATCACAAAAACTGATATTTTACTTTAAAATGCACACCCATCAATATGAAGATTCCATGTGTTTACAGCAAAACAATGGGTACGATTGTGGTATTCACGTTTTATGCAACACAGAGAATTTATCGCATTTTGCCTTGCATTACAATAAAATTGATGGTTGCCCTTTAATAGAAGCAAAAGTAGTTGGTCACAAACGCTTAGAAATATTGGATATAATTGAAAATTTGCAGAAACACAACAGGTGATATTTCATACAAAAATAGTAGGAAATTCTTTTTATAGGCGCAATTTTAGAGTTTACAAGTATTAAAACCAATAACTTTTCATTATTTTCAGCTTTAGTAACTATCTCAGTTTAAGAAAACTTTAAAAGAAAGACTTTACACATTAAAATTGGTTTAATAAAATGTTTATATTATTATTTTCTTATTATTTACCTTATATCCCTTCCTTGTAACACTCTGTATAACCAGCATTGTAAAAATACATTACCATACAGTCCACAATATTTTTTACAATCATTTTTATTACAAGTTGATTGTTGACATTTATTTATTAGGTTAAGTTACGCATAGTTGCCGCAATATTTTTTTTTATTTAATGAAAATAATTATTTGTATTTAATTTGATATTATATTTAAATTTAATTTTTTTTGGATTAAGATTATAGTTTATTAATTAACCGATTATATTTAAAGCATATTAATAATTAAAAACTTCAAAATAGGTCACGACTTTTTTAAATCTGGCAACGAAGTGAAATCAAGTATAAGAAATTTTTACCTTCGTTGAAGACCATAGAAATAATTTCTATGTTGAAGACCAAATTTCTCTACATATTTAATAATAAGCTAAACAATGAGGTTTTCTTATCGCCAAAATTATCTAAAACGAAAATCTGTTCGCGATTCTGCGTATTGGGAAAATCAATTTTGAATATAAAAGGGTCTTTCAAACATTTTAGTTATTTAATTTTAAACGAGACAATCATTTTTAAACGCGAACATGAGCACCACAGAATCAAAACAAAAAAATGCCAGTGAAATTGATTTAGAAAATTGGATGTTTAAGTTAAGTGACACACTAAAAATTGTTCCTATTATTTATCTAGCAATACCAGGTAAACATTTAATTAAGTGGTCAAAAGTATAGGATTATTTATGTTTAATTGTAGGATCACATGATAGTTTTACAGCCAATATATCCTCAAAATCAAAAATATCTCCTGATGCAGAACCTTTTATAAGAAACTTAAGTGTATTGGGGCCAGTGGTTAAGTATTTTATTGCTAATTGGAGTCGCACTCAAGATTTTATTGCACAAGAGCAATTAAAGAATGGAATAAGATATTTTGATTTACGAATATCAACCAAAGTTGATGATGAGGATTTTTATTTTGTACATGGCCTTTACTCAGACAAAGTTTACAGTGTGTTTGAGGAAATTAAGGAGTTTTTAAAAGACCATCCTGGAGAGGTAAGTTAAATGTTTATTAATAAAAATTATCACAGATTAGTCATAAAAAACAGATTTGGGTTTTAATCCAACAAATCTAACAAAAATGCGTCAATATCTTGCAATTCCGCAGTATTATCACCTACATTTTCAATTGTAAAGTCCAAATCTAGACTACAATCGGTATTGTTTACATTTTCATTTTTATCACTACAACTTATATCAACTTTTACACTTTCTGTGCTTGAATTTAGTGCTTCCTTATTAACTGTTATTTTCTCATTTTTATCCTTTTTTGAAACTTTAAATATTTCCAGTATATTCCTCTCAATTTCAATACAATCATATCCAACAGGGTAAGGGCATTTTAAATCAACGCACAAGTACACAGCCGTTGTAAGGTTTATTTGTTTTAACTCCAGCAATTTTTGACATATAGGACACACATTTTCCTATAAATAAACATGATACAATTCCAAAAAAGCAAAAATCAATACTACTCACCTGTAACATGTTTTGACAGATGACTAACCTCAAAATAACACAACATAACCAAACTTTTTTATCTAGCGAAAAAGCAGTGGCGGCGTCATTTTTTTAAATTGTTTTAGGTGATTATTTTGGATTGCCAACATTTTTACGCGTTCATGCAGGAAGATCACAATAAATTGATGGCGCTCATTACGAAAACTTTCGGGACTAAATTATTGCCTTACACGCAGCATATGGAAGCAATAACCTTAAAGTATATGGTTGCTAATAACTACCAAGTAAAAATATTATTATAATTTTCGATGTTCATATTTATTTTGTGGTTTTAGATAATAACTATTTATAGATCTGAGGCTTTACGATTTGGGCAGCCTTTTTTATGGCCTTCAAGCAGTTTTCCTACACCATGGCCTAATACGGTGTCCAAAGAGAATTTATTTCAATATTTGGATAATGGCCTTGCCCATAGAGATAATAACATTGGTTATATATCACAGTGTATTTTGACTCCCTCAAATCGCTTTATTTTTTTCAACATACTCAGTAAGAACTGTCAAAATTATGACATAACAACTGTCAAATTTTGACGTTTTAAAGCAATGTTGCCAATATTAATATTTGTAGGTACTTTACGACAGAAAGGTGGTATAGAGTTGGAGGAAGATAGGAACAATTGGATTTTGAAGCATAAACCTGGGGGAAATGGTTTGAATATTGTTATTTCTGATTTTATGGATTTGACAAATAATTCGTTTTCGAAAAGTATTATTTCTTTAAATTCTGATGACTTGTATTATAGTTATACAAAAAGTAAAAATCATACTGTTGTAAGTATTCCAAAAGCACTCAATAAGTTTTAAATAAATAAACAGGGTTCATTTAATATTATATACTTATAAATATATAAACAATAATTAAGATAAAATGTTATGTGCTATTTCTCTGGTTATATTTTTTGTACTCTATTATTTTTCAGTATTATTAGATGTTAGGATTTTTAAATTATTAATATTTAAAAGTTTTGACTAAAAAATCCATATATGCCTTAATAATAATGCCTTTAATGCCCCAGTCCTAATAATTTTAAGTCCCCTTTTGGAAATATTTTATTGTTAAAAATTGTTATGAAATAAAATATTACATTTCACAGGTAAAATTTTTATTTAGCAAAAATATCATCAATAAATGATATTAGCAATGCTCATCATAAATAAATTAATGTTGTCTGACAACTATAGGACTATTAAACATTCACATTGCACAAATAAGAACAAAAATAATACTTAAAAAAACAAAATTAAACATTTTATTTTTTTACACAGGGTGCACCCTGTTTCAAAAAGCATTAGCTGAGGGAAGATTCCTATACAAAAAATAATAAATTATATGAATAAGATGTTTTAGAAAATATAATAAATTAATAAATACAAACAATTTATCTACTTAAAACAATAGTCCTAAAATATACTGTTTCTAAAAACTGAATTTTAATGAGGTTGTGTGAAACGCGGTATAAAATTATTTTTACAAGTAGTATTATAAAAGAAACTTTTTTATAGTTGCATTTTATTAATTATTATTATTATTTATCTGAATATTTGTATTACTAAATATGTAAATCATAGATTAATATACCGTATTTTCATATTTGGTGTAAACAGCATAAGCATTGGGTTTAAGAGGAAGTATTTAATGATATCAACAGAATGACAACAGATCAGGGTTGCCAACGGCAAAGTATGCTTGTTTTGAGTCTTTAAAAAATAATTTAAGTTAAGTTTCGCATTTTTAGTTTTGGAATTGTTTTATTTAAAAAATTGTTAAGTATTATACTTAATAATAGAAAAACAGTTTGGTTAAATGAAAAACAAATAATAATTTTACACATTGGACTAAATTAATAATTTACTTTTAAAAGTGACTACCTAGTTTACATTTGTGATATTATCATTCCAAAATACAACCATTTGTCTTAAAACCTTTAAAGGTCAATAATTATAATAATTTTTGAAAGCGATTTTTACGAAAACTATGTACACTAGACTGTTTCAGAAAAATCGACTATTTTTTTTTCTTATTAATATTGAAAATATTGTTTGAAATGACGAAAAAAAAATCCTGTGAAAGTTTGAGCTCTTAATATTAATATTAAGAGGTGCCGCATCGAAAATTTCAATTTCCCATTTCATTAACATGGGAAATTTTTTTTTTCGAACTTTGGAATTTATTAACTCTTAAACAAGTCATCGAACTAGTTGAGGCAGAACATGTTTTTGTAGAGAATTGAACGCTCTACAAAAAAAGTCTCTTATAATTTTTTGATATATTTACTTTTTCAAAAGTTATTTAACGCTAAAGATGGATTGATTTAAAATTTTTACATTTTTCCAATTTTCCGACGCAATCATCAACTTTATGAGAAAATTTAATATTACTTTTTTGTAGAATATTCAATTTTCTATAACTTATTTTTAAAAAATTTATTTAATATGACAATTAATTTTAAGCATTAAAATTTTTAGTTTTTTGCAAATAACTTACGATCTGTAAAAAATATCAAATTTTAAAAAAAAATAAGTTATAGAAAATTGAATATTCTACAAAAAAAGTCCTATTAAATTTTCTCATAAAGTTGATGGTTGCGTCGGAAAATTGTAAAAATGTAAAAATTTTAAATCAATCCATCTTTAGCGTTAAATAACTTTTGAAAAAGTAAATATATCAAAAAATTATAAGAGACTTTTTTTGTAGAGCGTTCAATTCTCTACAAAAACATGTTCTGACACAACTAGTCCGATGACTTGTTAAAGAGTTAATAAATTCCAAAGTTCGAAAAAAAATTTTTCCCATGTTAATCAAGTGGGAAATTGAAATTTTCGATGCGGCACCTCTTAATATTAATATTAAGAGCTCAAACTTTCACAGGATTTTTTTTTCGTCATTTCAAACAATATTTTTAATATTAATAAGACAAAAAAAAATAGTCGATTTTTTTTAAACAGTCTAATGTACACCATACATAATTTGAATATAAGAGATTGTATTTTTATTTTGAATTTATAAAAAAAATCAGCCAATTTCGTTGACAACGCGTTTCACACAATGAAACTTATCTAAAATGTACTCTGGACTGAGTATAGGTACTAAGTAGAAATTTAAAGTTTCCAGAAAAAAATTTTTTTTCCAGGAAAATTGTGGAAAAACGAAAATTTTGGAAAAATGTTTCTTTGTTACAAACTAAAAAATGGTATTAATTGCTAGACATGCTTAATAGTATTAGGTTTTATTATTTTAAATATTATTTACAAATTATTCATCAAAAATGACGAATTGACGCGGCAATGTAATTCACCAGCGAATTATCTGTTTCTGTAAATCCCCGAAAAAATCAATTTGGATATTGTATTTTATTTAAACTAATTTAACTTAACACATTATTATTAATATATTTTTAATATCTTTTCCAATGCTTCAGAAAAAAAAAACATTTTTCCATTTTTTCCCGTTTTTTCTTCGTTTCGCTAAATCTGTAGTACATAGAAATTCGAGTTAAATACCTTTTTTTATGATAGGAATCTTTCCACAACCATTTTTTATAAAAAAACATGTACCAGTGTTTAATACTTAATTAAGTTTGTTAAATTAAACAAAAATATATTATTTTTGTTCTTTGACTAATTATTGCCAGTTTTGGACATGATGGCACTTACAGGGCCTTAACCTTAAGCTGCTTCATTTTGGGGGCGCGTTTTTTCGCCTGCCTCTTCTCCTCCTTGATTTCCCATCTCCTTTGACGATCTGGATCATCTTCGGCCATAACCTTCTCCTTCTCTTGACGTCTTTTTTCCTCGCGGCGGACAGCTGCAGCTTCGGCACGGGCTTGATGCGTGGACTTGAGAAAAGCCTCCTCAACTCTTTGCCTGTTCTTGTCTGCCTTTTGCTTGCCTTCTTTGGACAGTCTATAGCGCTTTACTTTGTCGACGAAGTAGAACACCATGTTCATCAGGGGGGTCATTTTGGCGACGGCTTCCTCCAAAGGCATACCTTTTATGGGCATGTTAAAACCAAACATAAGAACTCTCTCGGTATCAGGTAGCTTGATTGGTTGGGTTTCTTCAGTGTTCTTAGGACCAGTGTATTGATCGGAGATGTGAATGTAATCCACCAAATCTGGATATTTGTTGAGTATTGAGGTGACTTTAGAATCTAACATGGCCGAAGTGGCTTCAGCAATCTCCCCCATAACATTAAAATTGGAGGGAATGTTGAATTTGTCGCCGGAACGCCTCTCAGGGCAGAACAAGCTAATATCAGCTATATCTTTACTTAGATGGGCAGCAGTTTTTCTCGAAGCGACACAGAAAACAAAAGTATCCATATCTTCTTTATTCATTCTTATTTGTATGTTGATTTGGTCAATAGTTGGCCTCATCATGGCAGCAATGATGGCTACCATATCTTGCCTTTTTATTAATTTGAGTTCGACTAACATACCCTCGCAGCAAGTACGGCCACTACACCATAAAGTGTATATGTTTTCACTCTCCTGAATAAGGCCTGCAGATTCTGATTTTTCCAATGTTACATCATCTCCAACCAAGGTGAAGTTTTCTTCAAATAGTTGTTTGTGTTTTTCAAACCACACATTGGCGATTTTTTGGTTTTTTGATTTACCCATTATGAAGTTAATAAAGTACACAACCAGACCAGCAATCATCAGTATTTCGAGGTAATAACTATCCCAACTCTGCCTTACACTTACAGGTACATCCACAATCTTAATATCCGGTTTTTTTCCATTCTTTTCCATTTCTTCATCCTCCTTCATATTGTACCCTTCAAACTCTTCATGATCCTCAAAATGCTCAAACTCGTTATCTTCATCTACCTGCACGTCGTCTTCATCGGTAATGAACTCTTCCTCTTTTAATTCCTCCATGTAAACTTCCTCATGACTTCCGTTTTCAACAAATTCTTCATCCTCGAATTCAGCGAAATCATTGTCGGCTCCGTCTTCGTATTTATCAGTTAAAACTACCGTAGATATTAGTAATATTAGTATTGGTACTATCCACAGCCTCATGGTTACACAAAAAAACCACTTTCAGTCTTAATATCTATAATTTAATTGGGTCGACAATACAACACATTTGAGAGTAAATATAGGTTAATTAAATTGTACTTATGCAAGTGTCATGTTGGCAAGAATGACAATTGGGTTTGATTTTTTTCTTTAATATCATATGATTTCAGAAATATGTTGAGGTGTTGTTGTGTGTACTATAAAAGTGTAATTATATTTTTAATTCTTATTTCGTTGTACACATTCTATGGTTCAAAAATTGCGATAAAGTAAATAAATAAATTGGGACGGCACTGTTTAATTAGTTTGCATTGGTTATAATTTTCAAAGATTAAATGATATGCGCAACTTTTTGTAAAATTCAGGTTTGGCAAGTTTATTAATGAGTTTTTTGCAGTATTGTTACGCCAGCTCTGTGTTTAATTGGTTTTGCTTGAGAGTCCCGTTAATTGTAAGGATTTGGCAGTAAATTTTCAATATTTACGTTTCAGTGGTTACAATTTTTTCTATTCTAGAAATGGCTGTGTGCTGAGTGCAAGAAAATGGAGGATTCTACGGATTTGTGAAGTTTTCCAAATGTACGTGAATGAGGTGTTAAAATAAGTTTTTCGAGGTGTTAATAATGTAAAGTGGTTAATTAAAAATGCCATTGTTGTGGATTTCGTGTTGCTACCGCCAACAATCAGTCCATGAAGTCTGTATTGCAAAACTTTCTAATTGTTGATATTGCAGGGTGTATGGGAGGAGGATTAAATTATGGCATCTAATAGTGACGGTTCCGCGAGCAGCAACGGTAATAATATCACTATTGTTGTCTATTCTTTTGATTGTTGTAATTACCCACTTGTAAGTTGCAAGTGTTTTGATTCACTTTTCTTGCAGGGACTTACAACAAGCAACAATATGAAAATACTGCAAAAGACTTGGTCAATTCCCGGAGGAAGTGCGATCACCCCCAACCCTTGTTTAGTGTAAGTAAAGTTTAGTGTTTATCTAACCGTTTAATGTTTACTAGGGTTGGCTTAAATTAATTCAATTCAGTGGTTTATTTTATAAATAAATAAATCAAATACTTAACTCTTTAAAAAAAAGTATTGAATAAATTTAAACTTTTACTTCTAATTTAATTGTATTGGGAAAGAAGTAAAAATAATGCTTTAGTTTATAGAATTATTCTAAGAGCTTAAAATTAATAATTTTTATGTAAAATTGAAGTAAAAAATTTTTGAGGGCTGACACTTAGAGAAGCACAAAAAAACTTACTTCTTGGCCGAATGGCATACAACATTTTATCTTCAGGGCACAATTTTATTTGTTCTTCTTTCTGTATTTGTTGGCCTCGGTTAGGGAACCATATTGACCAGTGGTGGGGGTTTATTTTATTTGTTAATGGCTTGTAAAGTAAAGTAAGTAAATTACAAAACATAACCAAGGTGGGACTTATTGATGTGGAGCCAAGAAGACTCCATAAAGGATAAGTAACTTCCGACCACAAGGCATAATATTTTACGCCAAATAGCTTGGCCAAGGAAGACTACAGATACTGGCTGTGTAATTTAAAATAAATACACTTACTGACAGTGCATCTGTAGGTTACTAGTTGTAACTTACTACTGATGTTTTTTGGCATTCCCCCTAGCAAGTTACTCCTGTATTTAGTTTTCTTGCTCTAGGAACACCATTTAGTAATATTAAAAATACTAGAGACCAACAAAATACTAGACCAACAAAATAATCAAATGTTTTAAATATGTTTGCATATTTATGTTATTGATTTTTATTATTTTTAAGCCTAAATGTGTTATTCTCTATGGAAATGTTTAAGATAATATAATGTTATCTGTTTGCTATTATCTAAGCACATTTGGCTTCTGTTAGCAACATAATGTCAATACCTACCCTTATGTTTACAAAATATTATTCCAAAAACCTGACTGACATTTTGTTATTTTTGTTCATAACAGACAATTAACATTATGTTGTCATTCCTTACAGAATAGCACCATAAATCAAAATATATCAAGGGTTATTGTTTGCTAAAAAATTTTTAAAAAATCATAATAAACTTTTATTACTTAACCTTATAAGGAGTATTTATTGTCAAACCAGTGTTACACACCACAATTATACAGATATTTTATTGTGCAGGAAGTGTATAAGAAAAGTAAAAAAAAAACTATTTAAAACGGAAAAACCAACCATATTAATGTGTACTTGGGAAATAAATACAATTTAACAGAGTTACTAATGAAAATGAAATAAATAACCGTTTTTTATTTATGGTAATTATTATTAAATTCAGTTTTACCCATTTACTAGAGATGTAAAAAACGTTTAAAATATATTTTATTTTCCATAATTAAAAATGTTGCCTTACACTTTATTGTAATTAAAACTGTAATACACTGCGCTTCAAAATTAACGCATAACAAGTAAAAAAAAATGCAGCCTTTACCAATCTTTATAAAATTTTGGATTAAAATACTTTAACTTATATCTCAGTTTACGTGTTCAAGGGTTTTTCGAGAAAATATCCTTAAAGCCCTTTTATTTAATAATAAAAAACGCTCGAAAAAAAACGTATAGGAAATTTTTTTTTAAGTAAATTAAAAATATGGTGTGAAAGCAGAGCTGCAAGCTCTCAGAAAACTTAAATCGTTTTTTTGATTTAAATCGTTTTAATGACTTAAGTCATTTGGTAATAAGTCATTTCTCTAAAACTGACTTAAGACTTAAAATTTAAGTAATTTTCAAAATGATTTGTGACTTAAATATTTTTTTCAAAATAGAAAAAACTTAAGTCATTTATAAATCAGTACAAACGATTTAAGTCAAAAAAAGATTTAAGTCTTTTTGAAAAAGATTTAAGTCTTTTTGAAAAAGATTTAAGTCTTTTTAGAAAATATTTAAGTCAGATTTTTCATATATTTTTTTATAAATTTTTAACAGCGGCATTTTCTTTTGAACTGCCAGGAGTTCACGCGGCAGCAGATCAAAAACTCCTTTAATTTCCTACCTACAATTGCTACCGCTAGTGGATAAAAAAACCGCCGCGGTAAAGTTAGCTTTTTGGAACTGTTTGACGGCTACATTAAAAAATGTGGGGATTTATAATTTTGTTATTTTGTTTGCCAACATTCGTCATGTTCGTGCGTAGTTATGTCTAATTTGTGATTATTAGTGCAAAGTGAAAACAATCTGAGCGGTCGTGAATCGAGTTTGGAACTTCCCATCATTACTCCCTTAAGGGAGGAAATTTTTTTTCCTAGATGGATGTTAAACCAGCTAACAAAAGTTAACAAAACAACAAGTTATCAGTTTTTGAAATACAGCGATTTTAAGAAAAATGCTTCAACTTTTATATATTTTAACAGAGTTTGAATCTATTACCGTTTAGAAGTTTTTTATATACATAAATGGGTATACCCATTTATGTATATAAAAAAGTAGCCTCCCTGTATGTCTACTCTACTAAAAAAGGTGGTTTAAGTTTTTATTTTTATTGTCTAATATATACTCAAAAAAATGTGTTTTAAGTTTTTATTTTGTTTGTAAGTGTTCTGAAAATAATTCGTTTTAAATTCTTAACATAGTGGTTTATTATCATCTGTATCTACAATATCAGTATCATTAATACCATAAAATTATTATTAACATTTAAAAAATCGTTGTATTGTAATTATTTTGATTTAAATCACAATTTTTGATTTAAGTCATTTTATTGACTTAACTCTTAGATCACGATTTAAATAAAAAATATACACTTAAGTCATAAAAACGACTTACTAAAGGAATTAACTCATAAGATGACTTAAATCACTTTATATTGATTTAAGAATTTGCGAAAATGACTTGACTTGAAAGAAAATGATTTAATTCAAAGACTTAATACTTAAATCATTTGAACTTTATCTTAGAATTGACTTAAGATTTAAATCATTTTGATTTTAGAATTGACTTAAGACTTAAGATTTAAGTCTTTTTAAAACTGACTTGTTGCAGCTCTGTGTGAAAGACAGTATTTTTGTTAGTAAACCCTGAAAATGTTGTACAAATCAAACGAACATTAACGAAAATACAGCGCTTCAAAGTCGTCAAAAATGACAATTTTTCAGCAAAATAATCAAAAAGGGGTAATTTTTACCGACTTTGAAGCGCTAAATCTTTGTTACTGTTCGTTTGATTTGTACAAATTTTTTAGGATATTCTAAGAAAAATACGGTCAGGGTATTAAATGCAAATTTCCTAATATTGCATAATTTATTGAATGTAACAATAAGTAGGTACTAAACATTTTTTTTATTTTTTTTCTTAATAAAATTTGACAAAAAGTTAATGTGTTATATATTTTTGCAAATCCCTGGCATAAAAAAAATATTTTCGCAATAAAATTTTTTTTTTTTAAACTTTCGGAAAATTTCGGGAATTTTCGATGGAAAGTTTCCGGGAATTTTCGTCAAATGGGAATTTTCCCATCTCTATAAATAAGATAAAAAATTTTTACTATAAATATACGAGGTGTGTTCAGAAAATATCGAGAATTTTCGTTTTTTGAAAAAAAAAATTATTTATTCGTTTACATTAATGTTGTCGCCTTCAAAATAGTCCCCGTTGGATATTATGCACATGTGCCAGCTCTTCTTCCAATACTCGAAACACTTCTAAAACTTGATCTTTGGGATAGCCTTTAGTTCTTTCAGCGATGCGCTTTTAATGTCATCTATTCTTGCAAAACGACGGCCCTTTAAGGTTCTCTTTATTTTTGGGAATAGGAAAAAGTCAGACAGAGGCATGTCTGGCGAATATGGAGGCTAGGGCATCATTACAGTATTGTTTTTGGACAAAAATTTTGTTCAAAATTTAACAATTTTAGAACAAATTTTGCTGCCACGCGTTTCATACCCAAAACATTCGAAAAAATTTCATGAGATGAGTCAATCGATATACCAACATCATTAGCGACTTCTCTGATGGTTTATAACCATTTATTCCATTTTTTTCATGTTCGTCATCTTCAACGTCTTTACGGCCATCTTGGAAACTCTTATACCACTTGTAAACTCTTGTTTTACTTATAGCAGACTTACTATAGGCCTTTGTTATCATTTCACAAATTTCTTGGATCCATTTCTTTTAACGAACGAAAATCGCCGAGCTCATAAAACACTTCTAACCTTAGCGGCTGCCACAGACAAAGTAAACGATGAAAGTTTTTATCATACTTCGGGGGCATGTGTACTAACTTAATAAAGAAAATTTTATGACAACCGGACCCTCCGAACCCGCGAAATTTAACAATTCCCGTTATTTTCTGAACACACCTCGTTCGTCTCATTTTGTCTTCCTATAAAACGCATTTTTTTTAAATTTGTCAGTTTATAACTAAATAGTATAATAAACTTTTAAAAAATATGTATGTATGTATATCCTGTTTGTTTGCATTACACTTTATTATAAACTATTAATTTCTATTTATGCATAATTTAATAATTAAATTAAATAATCAAATTGATAACGCAAAAAACGTACATCCTTTTATATTTATGGATAAATTTAAATTAAAAATATAGAAATTCCTAAAATTTCTTGGACGTCCATGCGTTAGAAAATGATATTCATGGAAAAACCAATATTCCGATAGGGAGCAATATGCTAATTCGGCAGTGATATTAAATTAATATATTTTAAAACACATTTTCATCATAACAGGATTTAGAATACTACAGAGAACAACACAGGGCAGCAATGAATCAGCTGGAAGTATCTTCGCAGGACTCGGCCGCTTTGCGGAACAAATTCACCGAGCTCCTGGCAGAAAATAAGCGCCTCGATCAAGAAAATCAATGCCTACGCAAAGATTTGCAAGAACACAACAACGAAAATGCACGGCTATCGAAACAATGCGAAAAACTGGGACAGGATAAAGGTGAGTCAAAAAAATGTTAACAATTTAGAATATACTCAGTTTTTAAGTGAAAATCTTAATATTATTTTGTAATTTACTAAAAATTTATAAAAATTTGTTTGGTGTCTTAAAAATGGATTTCATGTGCTCTTCAAATAACAAAATAGAGCTTCTTTGTAGGCTTCTTACTTTTTAAAATACTTATAGACCCAGACAGCAATATGACGTCTTAATTAAGTCTGCATAAGCTCTATTCTATGATTTGGACGTCAAATACAACATCAGAAAGAAGTTTTTAAGAAGTTCTTAAGACTTCGAATGCGCCATCTATTGAACTAATCAAGACTTCTCAAAAAAGAACTCTTGAGGAACCCTTTTCTTTGACTTCGCAATTAAGCATTTTAAAGAATCCTACTGAATAAAAAGACTTCTTTAGAATTTTCCGTTTTGGATATAGAAGTACTACTAGGGTACTGATGAAAAAATTGCATACTGGATCGTTGCTTATTTTAACATGTCAAGTTTGTTTTATTAATTTTATTAATTTGTTAAATTGATTTTAATTAAAATCATTTTAATAATTTGCTCGTATTCGCTTATTTTAGGAATTGCGATTACTTCGTCTCACTTTTGTTTAAATTCAAGCGTGCTCTACACCGGCACCGATATACGGCCTGTTTCGCTCTTTTGGAGCTCGTCAGTATCGGGTAGCCGTTTACCTAGGTCTAAGACCGTTTGGTATGGAGCACGCTCTAAATTCTACTTCGCCGCTTCTTAATAGAATACTCTGTAAGCTCAAAATAAATTGTTCAAAAAGAGGTCAAGAAAAGATCTTCATTTTTACGTAAAAAAATTGACTTCTTATTTATGAGTTCATTAACTGGGACTGGGAGAGATAGTGAAAAAATATTAATTATTCTTTTTTTTTTTGAGGCGATGCAATGAGGGAAGTGGCAGGTCTGAAACAGCAGCTGGTTAAGTTTTATAACAGCTTACTGCACTCGAGAGAAACGTGCCAAAAGGTGCAAGCTCAATGCGACAATGTAACCGCTCGTTTAAATAAGGATATAAGTAGGCTTACTGAAGAAAGAAACGCCGCTATGACGGAATATGCCCTCACAATGAGCGAAAGGTGAGAATGTTTGCTTTTAATGTTATTTTTTGTCATAATTTTACCGTAATTTAAAATTGCATTGATGAATAAAGAGGAATCAAATTTTTTGTGGCAATATGTAAAATTTCTTTTGAAGGGGAAAACACAGTTTCCTCTGACTGACGTTTTTCCAAAATCTATAAATAAACTAAATAAGAGAGTTTGTTAGGTAGCTAGCGAATAGTGACAGTCAGTCATAATGAATTTGACAGTGTTGCCAGTTTAATCAAACATTACATAGTTGCATTTAGGATATTTGTCTGGGCCATGCTAAGTATATCATTTGTTACAGCTAACATACGGTTAAAAAGACATATACTGTTATTAGGTTCTACAATAAAAAAAATTAAGATTCTTTGTGGGCCTAAGATGGTACATTTATTTTAATATAATTGACTATGTAACAGTCTCTATATTTTACGTTATTTAATAACAACAAATACAAAAATATCACAGCCTGTTGCTTTCTTCTATCTAGAAGAGATTTAAACTCAAAACTCTTATACTCTTGTATGAGATCATGTATGGATAAATATTATTTTTAACAACCTAAAGATATTGTAGAAACTAGGGATGCACCGGAATTCCGGCGGTACCACTAAATCCGGCCGATCCGGCCAGTTGGCCGGAACTACCGTTCCGGCCGGATCGCTCCGGCCGGATCGCTTTCCGGCCGGAATTTTCGGAACTTTTTGGAAATGTTTAATTTTTAAATTTTTAATATAATTTAAATTCAAATATATGCAAAAATAAGGAAAATTATTTTAAGGTTTTTTTTAGTTGGTGCCTACTTATTGTTAAGTCGTTAATTAATCACAAATAATTTTTTTTTGATCAAAATATATTTTCTTTCCAAAAATTACAAAACATAAATAATAACTGAAAACATTATTAACAGCCAAATTCTAACAGCAAAAATAACAGCCAAATTCCCTGTCATGGAAGTCTTATAAGATAAGTATACAGTTTACATGAAAAATTAGAGTGAGAAACTTAGTATTCATAATTTATTTTATTAAGATTATGGTAAATAAATAAGAGCTTTTCGGCATTTTCAGAGTTTAGCCTACACCTGTATATATTACCAATTTCTGAAAATAGGCTGCAATTGAATGAGTAGAATTGTTTTAATTTTGTTAACGCTAATTAAAAATTAATATTTAAATAAACAGTAATTTCTATCTATGTAAAATTAATAGTAATAAACACTCTGCATACTGTAGCTAGTTTAAAAAAAAAGTAAAAATAAATCAGCCTCAATATTTTCAATGTTTTACGTATAAAAATGGGCATGCACATACATTTTAAATTTAGGTCCCGATCCGGCCGGAATTCCGGCGATCCGGTCCGGCCAGCGGCCGAAATTCCGGTTCCGGCCGGATCGGCAAAATACCCGATCCGGTGCATCCCTAGTAGAAACCAATGAAATTCATTTGTAATCATCTATAAGGTGAAAAAAAATGATATACAAAAGGAAAAAAAAATTCGGTCAACATTTTACACACAACAATGCACTTAAAACTAAAATTAAGAATATATTTTTGTTACAAGTAAAAATATTTTTTGTAAATTTTTTTACTTAATTAAAAAATTTACAAAAAAAAATTAATCTCATCAAAAAAATTCCATATTAAGTCCCGAGATAATTTCGATTTTATCCTAAAATTTACATTTTTAAAACTGAGATTGCAATTATTTATAAAATAGGGTTTTAAAGGTTCAAACAAAATCGGGAAAAAACTGTTTTTTTTTCGTTTTTTTTAATAAAACAAAGATTTCAGAAAACGAGTGGTTTTTTCAGTTTTGCAGCGATAAAACTACTATTTAGGTGACTTTCCCTAATCTTAATTTCCACCAATCATAAACGCGCAATTTTGAATTACAAATGGTGGAAAAACTGTATGACAGCACCTGTCAGCAGTTTTTTCGAGTTTTCCCGCGGCAAAACTTGACAGCTGTTGTCACCAAAAATTGCAATTTATATTTTAATTTTACCATAAATATAACAAAATTGATTTTTTTATTGCAGCCCCATCTATTACAAATATGAAAAAATGTTTTAGACAAAATTTACCTATTTTTAGTTGAATGTTTCATTGAAAATTTTAAAGTTACCCTATGCCCTCCCTATTAAGATGAGAGTATGGGGAATATTTTTGGTACTAATTTATTTCCCCCCTCAAATCATTTACTTTTTTTTTTTTTTGTGTAAAATGCCTATTTACGGACATATTTTAAAGTTTTAAGTTAAAAGACTCACCCTGTATATTTGTCCAGTTTAAAACCAAAATTTTTATTGGTTTTAACAGTCTGCAACCAAATAATCCTGTAGAATCTACAGTGTAGATTATCCAGTGTGCAATGGTAGATACACTATAGAAGAATGATACGTATTTTTTAGTTTTATTTTGCCTGAAATGTGACTTGTATATAAAACACAACGTCGCAGCGTGACATTTACGCGCATGTCTAAAATTAAAAACTTCCTGTGACTGTGCCACGAAGACTAGGATACAGGAGTTCAAACCGATATGAAGGGGTGCGGCAAAAAGCGCCTAAAATGATGAAGTTTCTCAGTGCGCCATGAACGATTTCATTTCAAACACATGTAAAACGATTGTGATTGGCCCTAATCAGAATGGGTTTGTGCGCAATGCAGTGCGCACTGCAGTTTAATTTATTTTGTTTCATAAAAATACGTGGCAAACATTTAAGTTTATACTCCTTTCTCTAGTCTTCGAGGGGTGTGCGAATGATTTTTTGATAGAGCGCAAGTGCAAGCGCAAACGGTTAGCAAACTAAAAATTGACGCTGTCCAAACGAACCTATTATATTTAAGTTTAAATCTGCTTACCTTTTTTAGAATTCAAGGATATATTTATTTATTTACCAATAAATGGTAATTTTAGCAAATTATTAATAATTTATTATTGATTTTATATATTAGAGTCAGAATTAACACTGCCAACTGTATTAGTTTTACATATTGGAGACAAGTTAAGTTTACAGTGGTACAGTGTATATCTGTAAATCGGTACGATTTGTTATGTATACTTTCAAGTTAAGTTTATTACAGCAGTATGGGTTTCTTCCACAGACCACCAAAACAAATGGACGGATTTGTTTACGTTTAAAAAGCGAGTAAAGCATAGTTTCACATTCTAAACACCGTCGAAAGAAACACGGCTTCCAACGTTGTCAGAAGTATAGATTACACGCCTTTTTGGACGTTCATCATAACATAATGAACATTAATAATTACCAGTAATTCGTTTGAATAATAAAAAAGTTGTAAAAAGGATTTGTTCATCATTTTCTTTAGATATTTTTCTCTATTTAAAGAAAGTAAATCATTTAATAATTATTAAAATTAAATATTAACAACGTTGGTAAATTCGTCATATTTGACAGCATAGAAAAAGGTTGACAGCTTGTTGTTTTGTGTTTTCGTTTGTGTATTTCTATTGTGTTTAAGTTAATTATGGAGTTTAAATACATTATTTTTTACTAAAAATAACAATACATGGAAATATCGTTTGTAAGTACCTACCTACTTATTAATTTTTTAATCCCAATACGTCACTGGACATAAAATTCTATCGCCAATTTAACGCTTAGACTGTGACCGTTTGTTGACGTCACTGGAAGAAAACATAAAATTCTATCTCCAATTTGACGCTTAGACTGTGACCGTTTGTTGACCGCAAACAAAGCATTGTTATGGAATATTGCCATATGGCAATGCGGCGTCCATTTGTTTTGGTGGTCAAGTCAATGATTCAGTAAAGCTTTATAAATATTTTTAACAAAAATACTTAACATTATTTATGCTTATATTTCATATTTTTGTAGTACTATACAGCATTATTCTAGTAAATGTTTTTGCTCAAAATTTGTAGGTATATTGTATATAAAATATTAAATTTTCTCTTTTTAAACACCAATTAAATTTAAAACTTAATAATAACTAAAGTTCAAGCAAATTATTATTAACTGATACGTCAAATAGGGACACAGTTCACAAGGAAATGGAAAAACTGAGCGACGATCTGGCGCAGGCTGTGAAAAAGATCAAAATGCTGGACGCCGACAACAAGGAACTGCAAGACGAAAAGCGCGGTCTCAATTTCCAACTGGAGTCGCTCAGGCGGGAGATTTCCAGCGCTCTTCAAGAAAGAGACAAGGCGATCAAAGAGTGCAACGATCTGAGACAGAAGTTCGGAGAGTTGGGCGCTTCGAGCGAGGGACATCTGTTGACGGGCGATCTAAGTAAAAAGAGCAGAGGCAGGTTAATTGATAGTTTGGGACATATCACTGAAAACGGCATGAGGAAGGAGCATTTGAGGGAGGATGCCAGAAGTATTGGTAAGTTATATCTTCTTAGGAGTAGTTTTTTGAAATTTTCATATTAAATTAAACTAGTTGGTTTTTGATTATTTATTTCAGTAAATAATTAAAGTTTGTTTATTTTTAAACAAGCTAATGAAATATTTTAAGCAAAGTACATAATTAAAATTTAATTTAATTTAGGACAATATACGCTACAATATAAAATTAATTACCTATATTTACATTAATCTTCGTTTTTCAAATCTTATCAACTAAAAATTTCAACACTTTGTTTATTTATTACACTTGTCAACAAGAACTTTTGCGTCTGGGATAGGGTATTAAAATTTTAAAATGAAAAGTAATCATTCGGGATTTTTTTTTTAATTACACCTCCGCGTTGCAGAAAGTCAAAACTGAACCTAAAATTTGTTAAAACTCATATTTTGCGTGTATCAGGAGTCCTGACTTGACTCCTGGGTGTTTTCTTTGGGGATTCTTGATAAATTAGGTTTACAATAAGGGAGTTTTTTTAATTTTTATATTTAAATATGCATTCCTATTTATATTAAAATATTCAAATTAGTTAAATATTTGAATTATTTAAATTATTTATATTATTTGAATATTTCAATAATTCCAATATTCAAATAATTTAAATTAAATTTAAATTATTTGAATATGTATTTGATTATTCGAAAGTTTGTCAGGTTCATTCGAATTTCCAGATATTTAATTAATTATTTAATGTTCTGTTTATTGGATAATAATTCATAGTAATTAAACATTATATTTGTATGAATTGAAAAGCTATTGGTTATATGTATTTATATGTTCTTTTGGGATGAATAAATAGGTAGTTTTATTATCTTAAAATGATTTAAATTAAAAATTTGTATAGAGCGCCATCTATGAAACAACAGGGGAAACTGTCAAATGTCACATTCAGATTCACATTTTTACATTACAAAGGTATAAATCGAAATGTATCTTGAAAATTGACAGTTTTTCACAGTGAAAGTAAAGGAAATGTTTTATGAGGACTTTACAGTGGAGTCCGTGCCCGAATTTAAGTTATAGTTTACTGCCGGCGAAATTAAAATCAAATATTGGCGTTAAGAAACTATTTAATAGTTTTGTATTTTTGTATTGAGATAATAAAATAATTTTCACATTTAGTATTATTTTACAAGAAAGGCACTTTATTTTAACGATTGTATGACATTTGACAACTGTCAACTAACTTAAAACTTCAGCCCGTGACTAAAGCGCCGTAAAGCCACAACTTGTTAATGTGTATTTAAAAGATCACTTAGTGTCATGGAAACATGTACGATAAAGGGCGTTTTAAAGGTGGGAGTAGAAAAAATACCTTACTTAACTAACACAGATAACAAAATAACGCAAATACAAATATTCAAACGCGGTCTTTAAAAATGTTACATGTCAAACTTTTTTAAAATTTAAATTACGACCCTATGAATATGATTTGGAAAAATGACTTCCCTCAAAAATTACACAAGACATCCTCCAAACTGTAAAAGGAACGTTTTTAACGACCGCCGTTGTAATGTATGTATTTCGAATATTTGAACAGTCGAGTATTTGGATATTTCAAATAGTGAAGAATTTGAACATCCGAATGATCGAATAGGTAGGTACTCAAATATCAAATATTTGGATGTTCAAATATTTGAATATCTTTAAATTGCCATGGATATAATTTGTATTTATATTTTCAAACAATTAAATTATTTAAATTTAATTTCCAGCCTTAGTCACGGTAGTCCAATTAAAATAAAACGTTTTAACAAATTCTAGGTCTAGTTTTGAGTATTTGCAAAGTTATGGTTATCAAAAGGTAATATTTGCATCCAAAAATGTTCCGAATGTTTACCTTAAATTCAATTAATCATATGTTTGCTAAGATTTACAGTTTGTTTAATTGTTCAAAACCCACAACTTTATGGCCCTCAATGTAAAATAATTGTTTACTGTTTTGCATAAAAACTTAAAAATCTGTATTAGTACTACAAAAGCAAACTTTAAAGATGATGTGGACATTTTTTCTTGATTTTCGCGCATTATAAATAGAAACATCATGAAGGATAAGGATTTATTGTTTTGTGGCGTTGTGTTATCTTATGATTAGAGCATCCAATTTTATTAAAAATTAGGTCAACGCCAAAGACTAGACAACCTGGACAAGGCGAACGAAGAACTCGAAACGCTGCGCAAATCGCTCGACAAAGCTCAAACCGAGCTGGCCGAGGCGGTGCAAGAGGCGGAAGTGTCGAAAGGCCGTCGCGACTGGGCGTTCAGCGAACGCGACAAGATCGTGCTGGAGCGCGAGTCCATCCGAACGTTGTGCGACAACATGCGAAAGGAGCGCGACCGAACGGTGTCGGAGCTGGCCGAGTCGCTGCGCGAGTCCGACAATCTCAAGGTGCAGAGGAACGAGCTGGCCAAGCAGGCGAAGGCCCTGCAGTTGGCGTTGGATACTCAGCTGGAGCGCGAGCAGAATAGAATACAGGTAAAGATTTTCTATGTTGTTTGAGCATAAGAAAAACATTATTTCGCGATATCCTCGCGAACACTCATCTTATTTTGATATTTTTTATGGTAGATATTTTTATTTTAGCATGTACAGGGTGCAAAAGTAAAAACAAGTTTTTTTCCTAAAATTTGAGATACCCTGTGACTGTAGTCCTTTCTTTTCTGAACATTTTATTTTTTTTCATCATAATATTGGTTCTGTTGTTAACAAAGATAACCTGTTTTATACAGGTAACGATTTTCTGTGCTGTTTGAACACAAGAAAAACATTTTGCATTAAATTGTTTTGCCTTGCAGTTCTGCGATTTATTTTTAGATGCCTAGTTCCAAGAATATTTTAATGCAGTTTTAGGGCCTTGTTGGTATTGTTTGACATTTTTGGTCAGTTTTAGAACATTTTAAGATTGGTTTACGACTTTTGTAAAAATATTTGACAGCTTTGTAACAATTTTATAATGGTTTTATGACGGTTTAAATTTGTATTACATTATACACTCACCGGGAAAAAACCGGCCACCAGAAATGTGCAAAAATTTTAATGCCGATATCCTCGCGAACACTCATCTGATTTTGCTAATTTTTTTGTATTACATTATACACTCACCCGTAAAAAACCCGGCCACAGAAATGTGCAACAATTTTAATGCCGATATCCTAGCCAACAGCTCATCTGATTTTGATATATTTTTTTGGAAATGTAGGTTTTGTAACGATGCTATGGTAGATATTTTTATTTTAGCATGTAAATGGTGCAAAAGTTTTTTTTCCTAAAATTTGAAACACCCTGTGGGATGCATCAGCAATAACAGCGGATGTTTTCTGAACATTTTTTTTTCGTCACGTTATTAGTTCTGTTATTAACGAATATACACTGCGCGTCAAAATTAACGCGTAAAAATTTAAAAAAATCCAACTCTAAAACGCCTTTACCAATCTTTATAAAATTTTGGATAAAAATACTTATACCTGAGTTTACGTGTTCAAGGGTTTTTCGTATATAATACCACTAGTGGTAAAATTTTACCGATAAAATTTTTGATTTTTATACGAATGTTTTTTTCTTGGAAATTTCGCAAGTGGCATTAATTTTTAAGACCACGAGCCGCTAGGCGAGTGGTTTTAAGTTAATGCCACGAGCGAAATTTCCAAGGAAAAATCTTGAGTAAATAAAAATCAAAAATTTTTTCAGGGAAAATTTTATCACGAGTGGTATTTCACGAATATTTTTAACTGCTGATTCAATTTCTGTATGATTTTTTGGACCAAAACGCATATTTTTTAACATTTTAATTTTAAAATTAAAAACGTCAACAGTGACAATTATTTTTATCATAGCAACCAATTGGTTGTTATGCAACTCGTATAAACGAGTGGTTTTTTCGTAAGTAATATCATAAGGGCATTTAATTTTTCCGAAAAGAATCGAAAAAACACGTTGCTAAGTAATATTTTAACAAAAAGCATGAGTGCTGGTGGCAACAAAAATCCGAGTCGAAGAGGAGGATTTTTGCACCTGCACGAATGCATTTTGTTAAAAAATATTACTTAGCATTGTGTTTTTTCGATTTTTTTCACAGGAAAAATTAGATGCCCGAATGGTATTTGACAAGACTATTTCATGAGTAACAGTTAACAATTAAAATATAAATTGCAATTTTTGGTGACAACAGCTGTCAAGTTTTGCCGCGGGTAAACTCGAATAAACTGCTGACAGGTGCTGTCACACAGTTTTTTCACCTAGAAACCATTTGTAATTCAAAATTGCGCGTTTGTGATTGGTGGATATTAAGACGAGGGAAATAGTCACCTGAATAGTAGTTTTATCGCAAAACTGAAAAAACCACTCGTTTTCTGAAATCTGATTGGTCCAAAAAGTAATGAGTGGAATAGTCGCTGCAAAACTGAAAAAACCACTCGTTTTCTGAAATCTGATTGGTCCAAAAAGTAATGAGTGGAATAGTCGAGAAAAAATCCTGAAAGCTCATTTATTTAATAATAAAAATCTCTCGAAAAAAAACTTATATAGCAAAATTTTTTTGAAGTAACTAAAAAATATGCTGTGAAAGACCGTATTTTTGTTAGTATGCCCTGAAAATATTGTACAAATCAAACAAACAGTAACGAAAATACAGCGCTTCAAAGTTGTCAAAAATGACCACTTTTCAGCAAAATAATCATTTTTACCGACTTTGAAGCGCTGTATCTTCGTTACTGTTCGTTTTACTTGTACAAAAAGTACGATTTTTAAAAGCATATTTTTTATTTACTTAAAAAACAATCCCTAAAAGCTATTTTTTGAACGTTTTTTTAATATTAAATAAAGGGGAGATATAAGTTGAAGTATTTTTAAACAAAATTTCATAAAGATTGGTAAAGACGTTGTAGAGTTAGAATTTTTTTACTTATTATGCGGTAATTTTGACGGGCAGTGTACACTGTTTTAAAGTCAACTCCTTAGATAAAGTGTCCGTATAATTTCCTCGCGGACCGCTTATCTGATTTTGATTATCCTTTTTTACAGTTGGTTTTAGAACCTTGTTGGAATTGTTTGACATTTTTGGTCAGTTTTAGGACATTTTAAGATTTGTTTACGACTTTTCCAACAATTTTTTACAGTCTTGGGACAATTTTATTATGGTTTTATGACGGTTTAAATTTGTGTTATATTATACACTCACCGGCAAAAAAACCGGCTACCAGAAATTGGCAACAATTTTAATGTTGATTTCCTCGATACTGTAATATACATTTTTATTCAGATTTTAATTGAAATTTTACTGTAGCCCTATCTTTTCCGAAAATTAGGTATTTTTCGCGTTATTATATCTGTTATTGACGAAGATACGCCTTCGCATGTATTATGCGATATACGCTGAAACTGAGGCTGAAACGGATGTCAATTATTTTGAAATATAATTAATAACTAATACGAACACTTTATACGAGGAATTGACTTTAAAATATTGTATCTTCGTTAATAACAGAAATAATTACGTGAATAAAAAACAAAATGTTAAAAAAAGACTACAGACTTATTTTTTATCGTCAAGGATCATGATTTGGACCACCAATGCGGTCACACTGAAGTAGTCGAATTAGAGCTAACTCCAGCGGATGAAGAAGGCTTGGAGCTTGCGGGTTCCGTATATGTGGCGTCTGTGGCGCCATCTTCGCCCGCCTCAGGGAAGCTTTTCCCGCACGATCGTATTTTACGCGTAAACGATGTCGATTGCAGTCAGGTTTCGCAGCGGATGGTCACCGAGGCTATCAAGTCGAGCATGCCTGTGGCCAGAGTGTTGGTGAAGAGGACTAGATGTGCCAGAAATGAGGTAAGCAATTGTTTTTGTATTTATGTAAAAATAAATACAAAAATAATTGCTTTAACTTAAACGTATTATTAATAGGTTCGAGCTTCAAGTGAGCAAGTTACAAAATGGATTCACACAGCTAGATTAGCACCAGCTTGTCATGGTTTGTCCCTAAAAACTGGTTACTACATCAGCCGAATAAGTGAGGGAAGCCTTGCAGCTAGAGATAAAAGTCTTACTGTGGGAGACAGAGTTTTAAGAGTAAGTTTTTATTTTATCATTTTTTTTAGATTTCGGTCACGCAAATTAAAAATTAAACCAAGTATTTTAATTTATAATTGCGTTGTAATTTGAGCATCTTTTGAAGTGGATAATTTTAATTATTTAAAAAATATAGTTCAATATAACATTTATTAAATCCTACTATGATATAGTAATATTATAATATATATACAGGGTGAACCAGGTATCCTCCTATGTATGGGTATCTTTTTTATTTGAAGAGCTTCAGGATAGGTTAAATTAGAGAAAATTTGCGTAATTACAAGCCTATTAAAAATGGAATTTAAAAATTGGAAAAAAATTCTGCTGTTTTGAAAATATTGAAAAAAAACTAAAAACCTTTAAAACCAAACTATGTTATTTCTGGGAATTTTATCCGCCAACTAGATTTTGAGTTATCGGAACCATATTTTGTTTTACCTATGGTCGCCATTTTGGAATTTTACACGGTAGGTTAGAAAAAAATACGGAACAACGAAGTTATAACGATTTTTAAAAGGTTTTTAGTTTTTTTTTAATTATTTTGAGAACCGCTGGATTTTTTTCCAATTTTCAAATTTCATTTTAATAGCCTTGTAATTACTCAACTTTTCTGTAATTTCACCAACCTTGTAGCTCTTCAAATAAAAAAATACCCATAGAAGTATATACATAAAAGGATACTTGGTGCACCCTGTATATTATAACAATTTATAACTTAAATAGGTGTCAATATTTAACTGAATAATCTGAATAAATAAAACAACATTGCTTCAAGAACACAACTGTTATAACAACATTTATTAATTAATAAAATGCAGTATTGCAATTTGTTCAATTTTTAGCTAAAAAAAAATATAGCAAGTAAATCTAGCGTTGAAGGCGAAATTTCAATAGTTTGAGAAATTGTTTTACTTATTTCAAGAAAAATTCTTTAAAAAATTAAAAACTAATTTTATTCTTACTGATTTTACCGATTTTTACTTTAGGCCCTAAAGTTTAGGGTTAGTGGTAAAATCAACACGTTAAAAATGGCTATCATTGTTTTTGACCATACAAATTAATCCACCAAAACATTTTTCTTTTTTTAGCATATTTTTTGTCAAATAAAATTGTGGGTAAAAAAATAGTTTTTCTTGAACAAATAAATTAATTTTAATAAAACTTCTGCATATTAAATGAAAATTGTTATCAAATTTACAAAAATTTAATTTTTTCATAATTTATTAAACTTTTTATAAACAATTAATTTTTTTTCGTCTTTTGAACCTTTTTAAAATCTTTAAAAAATGTAAAAAAATCCGCGTGGCAATTACTTTGTTTATTGTGATTAAAATAATGCTGCGTGGGGTAGTATACCAGCGCGCACGTTTTACAAAAGCGCATTTATTATGACCTTTTTTAACATTTGATACGGTTGCGATTCACTTGTTTAACATAATAAATCAATAAAAACTTATTTTAGAAGGAAAAATGTAAAAAAACAATTTTTTTAGTAAAAAGTTTGTTATTTAATCACGGATTAAGTAAAAAGATCATAATAATTGCGCGGCACTATCATAATTCCTAATGTAATTGCCCCTTGGATTTTTTTCTCGACGATTTTGGATTATTTAGAGTTTTGTTGTGAAGGTTTTTTCACATTTATAAAAGGTCGAAAACAAATAAACTATTTTTTATGATATATCGATAAATTTTTATAATAAAAAAATAATTTTTTGAAAATTTTATAACAATTTTTCATTGGCATTTCTTAGGTAAAGAGTATAAGTATAAGAGTAAAGTTTTATAAAAATCGATGTATCTGTTCAAGAATAATTATATTTTGTTTGAAAAATTCCATTTGACATCAATAAAGTTAACTTTGCAAAAAAATAAAATATAAAAGTTTTGGTCGATAAATTTGTATTTTGAAGAAAATTTTTTTTAACATTTCGACTAAAAACAATGATTTTAAGCTGTTACTGTTTTATATTAGTAAAATTAAGCATTAAAATGTTATATCGCCTAAACTAAAAACGCGCTCGCTTCTTGTTACTTGGGTTTCAAAATCATTAATTGGTCTTTGAGATGGCAGTTCTGCAATTTATATTCTTTCACAGATTAATGACAGATCTTTGGAGGAAGTGAAGAGCGCCCACGAGGCGATGCTGATCCTCAACGACGGTTCTTCCGACATCATCAACCTGACCACCCTGAAGATGAGCTACCCCGAGTGCCCGAACGTGTTCCAGCCGGCCGCGAGGCGCGTCAAGCGCGCGCAGAACAGCTCGCAAACCGAGGACTGGATACAGAACAGCTCGGCCGCGTCGTCCGATTACGGCGGCGGCGGCGGCGGCAGCAAGTACGGCTCGCAGACGCCCGAAAAGAACAACGGGAGCGCGTGGCTGAAGGAGAAGTTCGACATTATGAGAGGCAGAAGGCCGGACAAGAAGAACAAATACAGGAATAGCAGTCCTAATCCGTTGGAGTTTGAACGGGAGCATGAGCAGGTATTTATGAAAACTATTTTTTTAATCTTAAGGGTACAATTTCACCATTGAATTATTGGCTTTTTTGACGTAAAGTTTTAGAGGTTTTAAAAGTTTTGAATCTTTTTATTAATATTGTCCGTAAATCTCCATGTGATTTTTTGGGGATTTTGAATCCTACTTAATCCATATATTTTTTAATCAGATAATAAAACTTACAAGACTTTAGGAAATGTATAATTGAAGCAAATTTTCCTGTTTCTGTCAATTATAGAAACACGTTTTTAGCTTTAACCTGAATAATATATAATATATATAATAATACAATTAAAGCAATATTTAATTGTAAAAAAATAACAAAAATAGGGATAGGCCAAAATTGTATGTTTATTTTATATATATATTTATATGCAATGGTTAAAAACGTTTTAAAATCAAAAAATTTTTCCCAGGAAGTCAAACTTAAAAAAAATAACTTTATGTAGTTTTTTTGTTATATTTTTATTAATGGCTAAAGCACACTATTGTGCAATACAAAGATTAAAATAAAAAAAGATTTACAGTGAAATTTGGTAATTTTTACGCAATTTTTACACATTTTATTTAAATGGTTTAAACAAATAAAAAAATTGTGATTTTTCTTTTTTAAACAATGATTTTTATGTCCTAAAACTTAAAAACAAATCTGATATGGAATGACTTAATATTCATTTTTAAATTAATCCCTTCGCGGTTTTCTGGTCACGGTTGAAATGCGGTGTGCTTAATTTATTATGAAAATAGGATGTGGTTTTAGAACCCCCATTGATGTATGGGGCTTTGGATTTTGGATTTTTAATAGGGATGATGTACTATTTTTTTTAAATCGAATCCTCGAAATAAACTAGGTATGTGTGCAAAAAAATTTAATTTGCGCTTTTGATTACTGAATTATGATTTATTAGATTATAAGATACTAAAAAAATATTAACAATTAAATTTTAACTAATTTATCTTCTGTAATGTATGAGAAATTCTTCAAAAATCCCCCTTTAACTTCCAAACACTTTCTCACTCTTTTTCTAAATGAATTTCGTAGATAAATAAATTAAAATAATTTTTCATTATTTTATGATTTAATAAATCATAATTCCGTAAGCGAAAGCGCAAAACAGTTTTTTTTGCACACAAACCTATTTTTTTAAATAGATTCGAATTTTTATTTCATCCCTATTAAAAATCCAAAGTTACCCCCGCCTTTAAAAATAGGGATAAGGAGGGGGTAGATGTAAAAAAATATGTTTAAATATGTCCTCCTCCCTCTCTAATGGTTTAACAAATTTTTACAAAACAATTTTAAACTGTTTTCGAAATATCCCCTAAACACTAAAATTCTTAAAAATTATAAACTTAAAAATTTGATTTTTTTATATTTTTTTATTCTTTTCTATCAAACAAAATATTTTTTTTAATTAAAAAAAGCTACAAATTTTGAAATTTTAAATTATTTAAAAAAAAAAACGTGTGTTTGGGGGGATGGTTTGGCATTAGAATAAAATTCCCTGCCGCAGTATTAAAAAAATGCATTAAAAAAAATTAAAATTATGCTCATTATGATTCTTTTGTTTTAAAACCATATAAGTTTAATAATGGAATGGAAATTGTTTTAGAGATATTTTTATCTGTTTGATTGCTTCAAAGCGCAGGAGTATATTATCTGTCATTTTGACACCTGTCAAAGTATTGCTTCATGGCAAACTTAAATAAAGAATTAAGCATTTTAATTAGCCTAATTATAATTTTTTTTTTAAATTTAAAAATGCATAATTATTGGATGAATGAATAAATAAAAAAATCCAAAGAATTCTTTGGCAAACTTAAAAAAATATTTTAAATATTAAATTTTTAAAATTAAATTTTTTAAATTTCTCCGTGAATCGACTATACTATAACGGCAAAAAGAACGTCGATTGATGGTAAAGTTAAAAGACCGTGAATTGACTATTTATTCACCGCAACTTCACCGTGACCACGAAACCGATGGGTCTTGTTATTTTATTAAATTTGTTTTTCTTCTACCCAAAATTGTTTTTAAACTGTTGCTTAATTTATTACAACTAAATTTGCTAACTTAAGAGTTTAAATAGTAGTTTACAATTTTTACTTATTCCTACTGGTTTTGCGCATTCTACATAAACCAAATTAACTGTAAAACTTTAAGGTCAATATTTTTAGTATTTTCAATTTTTAAATTTATTTTATCATTCCAGAATAATTATAATGATAAATTGCCTCTATCTTGTAGGAGGTCACAAAAGTATTTGATTTATTTAAATAAATGTATATGAATATTAATTAATTGTTTAAATGTAATGGTGTAAAATTATAATATCATATTTAAATGTTTTATATCAACACTTTTTATTTAGCCCAATAAAGAAAATATAATGGAATGCTTTGAACAGTTAAATTAGTTTAAAAATCGTATTTAGTGCAATGTTTTTTATAAATTTATAAAAAGCAATATAGCGGTATAAATAAACAAATACAGTTTGCTTCAAATTAATGCATATTTAAATTTGTATATTGTGTATCAAAAATATTTTAAAATAATTTTGGGGCGAAATGTATTTAATCTAAATAAAAATGCTCCAGGTTCTGGCCGACTTCGATTCCGTCCTGGAGACGTACGGCGGCACCGTGAAGCGCCAACCGAACAAGCGGCACAGCGCGCAGTACGTCAAAGAGGAGAAAAACAACGGCGGCACGTGGCCGAAGGCGCGCGCCATGCAAAACCTCGAGGGCAACGTCAGCACGGTGGTGAAACGCACCAAGGAGCGCCCCGCGCTCAGCATCCTGCACACGAGCATCGACACCGACTACACGTACAACCGGAACCCGGCGCCTCTGTCGAGCCTGCAGCCGAGCTCGGTCGACCGACATTCGGTGTTCAAGAGCGTCGACGCCAGCCATCAGTTCGGCGTGGCCGACAGTTTCGAGAAGTTGAGGAACGCCGTCAGCAATGGCAGTACGAATAACAACAGGTTCAGCGTGAACAATTCCGATAATAGTTTGGATTATCAGGTGCAACATCGTTGCATCGATATTGTGAATTGCAATAAGAAGCACCACAGATCACGTAAGTGTTAAATATAAAATTATCAGAAATTGAAAATTACAGTGTCTACGCGGTAGAGTTAAGAATTTTATTATTTGTAGTTTTAGAAGAAAGTTGTCTTGATAATTAATAATGGTTATACTGTACTTTTATTTTACATGTTTCGGTTTTTAAGAGTGGTAGAATAAGAGTTGGATTCGCCGGACTCTTGGCTTGTGACACGGTTTTCGTAATTCAGCAGTAGACCCTTCACCGGCGTTGGGTGATAGTCGAAGTTGGCTCTGGATTATGAATACGAATTACGCATTATTAAGTTAATTTACTTTTGAAAATGATTCAGATACTTAAAATGTAACGTAATCACTTTAAACAGTACCTAGATTATTAATTAAAGGTTTAAAATCATTATTTGTTTTGCATTTAACTAAAAGGTTTTTTATAAAAAAACGTTTAATCATACAAAATTCTCTTGAAAACAAATTAAAATAAAAAAAATCAATTCTCTTAAAACAAGACAGAAAATCAAACTTTTTAAAATAAATGTAAATATTAGACTGGGCCAAAAAAATCAACCATTTTTTTTTTTTGAAAACTATATCGAAAATATTGTTTGGGGTGACAAAAAAAATTATGGTGAAAGTTTGAGTCCATAATATTAATATTAAGAGGTCTATCATCGCAATTTTAGATTTTTTTTCCTGAGCGAGTTTTTGTCTCAGAACTACCAAACTATTGAGTTTAACAAAATTGACTCATTAATATTTATTTAAGAAAATTAAATGCTCTACAAAAAAAGTTAAAATGAAATTTTCCGTCAGATGAACCGTTTCCTCACCTCTTAATATTAATATTATGGACTCAAACTTTCACAATATTTTTTTTTGTCAACCCAAATCATATTTTCGATATACTTAAAAAAAAATAGTTGATTTTTTTAAACCAGCCTATTATTTATGTTAAAACGCTCGAAATACACACTAGCAAATGCAAAACATAACTGAATCGTACGCAAACAAAGCATCTGGGGAGGAGCACTCGGGTTTACTCAAATGGTTATATATTTCAAATGAAAATGCGCTTTATATATCAGATAAATAACAAATAAATCAAGTTTTTTAAGAAAATATAACAAAATAGGAATTTCGGGCATTATTTTAAAATGTAACTTTTACACTGTATATTTTAAAGTAATACAATAATAAATTCTATTTATTATGAACTTTTATAAACCTTCTAAACAATATTATATTATTTTTAACTTATTACTAAAATGTTGGAACTTATTCAAGAATGTCAATAGCACATTTATGAATGTTAAATACAAATTTAGGAATTCTAAAAACATTTTAAAAGTCAAAATCAAATTATGAATTTCAATGAGATGAAAAAAAAAATGCATTTTTATTCAAATATACATGTATACTAAAACTTGTATAATATATTTGTATTGTATTTGACAGCAAAATACAGCTCTGACTCGGAACGCGACAGCATCATAGGCGGCCCGCTGCCCGACTCCGTGTCGGCGCACAGCCGCCTGCCTTCCGCGCAGATGTTCGCGCACCCGCGCCTCCTTCATCCCTTCCATCCGCACCACCCGAACCTGCTGAATCACTCGTCGCGCGAGTCCTTCAGCTTCGAGCCGCACCCGTTCGGCCACGGCCACAGTCCGTCGGTCGACATCGGCGGCTTCGCTCGGCGCCCCGAGCCGCTGGGCGGCGGGACGTTTCCGAGGAAGAGAGGCGACGAACGGTTCAGGGTGCCGTCAAACCCGTCAGTCACCAGAGTAAGTACAACTTTCATAAGATTTGTGATTTATTACGGAACGTGAACCAGCAAAATTAGAAAAAAATATGTTGCATCTAGATCTGGGAAAGATACTTTCTAAAAGTATTTAAATACTAGATACTAAATACTTTTAAATTATTTGAAAAAAAGATAAAAGATAAGATATTTTCGGTAAATCCTAAAAGCATCTAAAGTACGATACTTTTAAGTATTTAAGATAACAGATACTTTCAAAGGAAAAGTAAATAAAAATACCCTATCATGTCTGAAGTGAAGTCTTACTTTGAAAGTAGTTATTGTAGTTTGTTAAAAATGTTAGGTACCTAATTAATTTCTATTTATCATATAAAGACAGGTTTGATAGTAACTGTTATGTAATAAACAAATTAAAAAAATTGCTTACGCATTTACTTTATCATTTTTTTGTTGATTTTTTTTATTTTTATGTACATATTGCATATCTATTAGTTCTGGTAAAAAGCCACAAATTAATCCTAACAATTTGATGCCACAGTTTTTTGCGATTCCTAAAAAGTTATCAGAAACGCGAATAGCGGGTTTTGATTCTAGACGACTCAAATACTTTCAGTATATTAAGTAGGTATAAACAAAGATAATTATTATTATTATCTTTGGGTATAAATACCAAAATTTAAAAGTATGTAAGATAAAGTTTCTTAAGATACTTTAAGTATTTAAGATAATCTTTTATCTTAGATATCTGGTTGCAAGCAGTGGTGTAGCAAAGGTTCCGATTATGATGGAGTGATTTTCATTAAAATGTCGATTTTTCGAGAATTTTGTCGATTTTCATTAAAATGTCGATTTTTCGAGAATTTTGTCGACTTTTTAATCTTAAAATGAAATTGGTAATTCTTCAATTATCAATTTGGCTGTCTCTGGAATCAAAGATTATCTTTGGCTGGAATCACTCAAAAATACAAATTCTTTATTAAATAATTCAAAATTTCGACATTTACAAAATTCATTAACGAATAACGATAATTTACAAAATCATCAAACATAGCAATGACAATTCGAATTTCTCTTCAAATCTTCATAATTTACTTTTCCGACTACAAAATTTGCAATCACAGTCCTTTTGCCCTATGGAGTTTTACTCTACACCGCTGTTCTGCTACAACTTGTATGTGACACATATAAGGTTTTAAAGTGTCGAAAAAAAACAGTAAAAATTGGGAAAAAACTGTTTTTTCCGCAGGTCTGTGGTTTTTTCCATTTTTTCCCAGGCCTTGGAAAAATTGACATTTTTGGGAAAAATTGAATTTTTTTTTGGAAAATATATACATTTGAAAAAGTAGCATTGAACAACTTGGCATAAAAAACATCTACACAGAAAAAAAATAAAACTAAACATTGAATTAAATTAAATTGAATTAATTAAATTAAAATTTATATTTTTTGCAAATTTGTTTGCAATTACAAAATAATGAATGATTTATAAAGTTATTTTACAAAATTATAATTTTATTAATCGAAGTGTCAAATAAAACGAAAGTTATGTTAATACAGCACCGGAGTAATTATCATGATATGATTATATTCAGCGTCGGAAATTTTTTCTTGATGATCGGACTAACGGACAAACGGATTTATGAAAATTAAACTTTACCCTTTGAATAAAGTTAAAAAAAAAATGCAGAAGTAAATTTTTCTGAAAAGCTCGCCCAAGTAGCATTTATAGTGGTTAAAACGTGTTGGCCACTTATACTTGGAACTGTAAAGTATATTGCCAAAATCTCTGCCACGTGGTAGAAACGGTTCTATTACGTGGAAGTGACTAAAATGGGGAACACTTTTTAGTGTCAGTTACGTTTCAACAACGTTCTTGAATTGTATACAGACACGTTAATACCACGTTGTGATTACGTTACTATAACGTGGAGGTATAGTGGCCAAAACTTAATCGTAACTTTACTAATCTTAACTTTCTATCCCCGTCTCTTTCCAGCATAATATTTATCTTATTATCTTTGCTTTCTCTGACTGGATATTAAACTAACACTGAAATATAATATTGTAAGAGTACAACTTGGACATAATAACTAGAATTAAAATAATATTAACACGAATTAAATTTTACTGTCAAACATGGGTCATAGCTTAAAATATAAGCACGCCCTGTTGAAATATGTGGTAATAAAAAAGAATAAAAAATCTATAAACTTAGCGGATATGAAAATTATTTATCTAGAGGCCTAAAATATTTTTTTTATTTTTTCTGATCACCTGAAACCAAATAATATGATTGTTTGTAAACATGTCTGCTTTTGAAGAAGGGAACTTTAAAGTGGTAATTTTATACGAAACGTGGAAATATGTAGCATGAACGTGGCAATCACCACCGCAATTATATAATCAAGTTTTGCCACATTCAAGGTTTGGGAAAAGTTCCGAAAAGACTTTGCCAAAACTGATATACCCACTTTACTACTTCTACCACTTCAGAGTAATACTTAAGTGATGTGATTTGGTTAGTTACTATTCATAATCCACTCTAAAGTTTAGACAACTTTAAGGTGGTGTCAAAAGTGGTCATAACGTTTCAGATACCAGACTAATACACCAAAAAGTTATAAAACTATAAAGTATATTCTGCTGGTGCAAATCACATGATTACAACTATGCCAATATAATATGGGGATATTTTAACTGTATCGTGGTAGATTTAGTTATTTAAACGTTATTGCCACTCATTTGAAGTGGTGATATCAGTTTTCGTCACTATAATGCTACTTGATCAATTTTAAAAACCCTAGTCACATCCTTAATTGAATTGCCGGAATGCACAACCGACGCAGCGCGGGGCCAGTAGGCTACTGCACGGAGACCGTTCAATTTCAACAAAATTCTTTAAATTAAACTCGCGATAACTCCTTAACTAAACGTGCGATTTTTATGAAATTTGGACAGAATACTTAGATTGGTACTGCGATGCTATTAAAATAAAAAATACAAAATTTTAACCACAATTAATTAATAAATGCATCAATATTATTTAAGTCATAACTATGCTTAAACTAGTAGATGTTTATAAATTATATACATATATATATATATATATGGTTTTTTTTCTTGGTAAAATAAAGAAGTTTTTCTCCGAATTTGACAATTATTAATAAATTATTATAGCCGTAATACTAATAATTAAGAGAGCCTGCGGCGGCGTAAAAAGCTTAATTGCAACAAATCATGTATTATCAGTAATTATTACTAAATGTGTTTATATTGCACACTGTTCACTGTACAATATAAAACAGGAATTTTATTTTGAAATAAAATTATTACCATATCTTTTAACTTTTAGCAACATTTGCTTCCGACAAATTATTATTCTTCGATGTTTTTCGTCCGAACAAATCGGACGAAAAAGATCGAAGAATAATAATTTGTCGGACGAAAAAGATCGAAGAATAATAATTTGTGGAAACCAAATGTATGTATCTATAGATACATATGATACCAAAAACCGGTATAAATTATATTCCTTACATGTAAATATCTAAGAAATCTTTTTTGTACTTTTTGAATGACATTACTATTACTTTCTGCTGTAGGTGACCAGATAATACAAGCATATTCAAGATGAAGCCTCACTAATGCATACAATATATACAATTTAGTAAAAGATGAAATATGTTTTAAATGTTTGGCATTTCTAAGTACAAAACCAAGTACTTTTTCGTTGTTAATCTGTTTATATATTTAAAAATCAAATCAAACAGTAGCCAAGATGAATATTTAACACTTAGCGGTCAATTATTGATGAAAATAGCAAACAGTAGCTGCCCTAGGTAATCATTTTATTTCAAAATAAAATTCGTGTTTTATATTGTAAAGTGTAAAGTGTTCAATGTAAACACATTTAGTTATAATAAGTAATAATAAATGATTTGTTGCAAATTAAGCTTTTAACGTGATAAATCGAGTTTAGTTTCGATTCTTGTGCACTTTGTTGTCTTTACGTCGCCGCAGCGCGCCGCGGGCTCTTTTATTTATTTGTATTACGGCTATAATAATTTATCAATAATTGTCAAATTTGGAGAAAAACTTCTTTATTTTACCAAGAAAAAAACCGTATATATATAATTTATAAACATCTACTAGTTTAAGCATAGTTATGACTTAAATAAAATTGATGCATTTATTAATTAATTGTGGTTAAAATTTTGTATTTTTTATTTTAATAGCATCGCTGTACCAATCTAAGTATTCTGTCCAAATTTCATAAAAATCGCACGTTTAGTTAAGGAGTTATCGCGAGTTTAATTTAAAGAATTTTGTTGAAATTGAACGGTCTCCGTGCAGTAGCCTACTGGCCCCGCGCTGCGTCGGTTGTGCATTCCGGCAATTCAATTGTAACTTTTCCAGACGGAATCGGGCAGCTTGGAGCGCGGCAGCTCCGACCGCGGCAGTCCGATGCCGATTTTTCAGGTGGAGGTCCTCAGCAGTCCGGGGGACCACCACGCAGGCTGCGGGGGAGCGCCGACCTCCGGCTCTAAGGACTGCTGCTCGTGGGGCTACAAGCCGGTGCCCGGCGAGCTCCGACGCGTGCACATCGACAAGTCGAACGAGCCGCTCGGCATCCAGATCAACTGCCCGGACGCGGGCGGGATCTTCGTCTCCACCGTGAACGAGAACAGCTTGGCGAGCAGGGTGGGCCTGCAGATCGGCGATCAGCTGCTCGAAGTGTGCGGCATCAACATGCGCAAGGCGACCTACAATGTGGCGGCCAACGTGCTCAGGCAGTGCGGCAATTCCATCACCATGCTAGTTCAAGTAAGTATTCATTTATGTATTCTAGTGGCGGCTGGTGGATTTTGGGCACACCCATATCTCAGATATTAGACATGGGACCCACATCAAATTTACATGAGGTTATAATGACACTATAACGAAAAAGTTCTGCGCAAGCAGAATTTAAATTGAAGTTTGCGAAAAAAAGTTAGTTTTTAAGTGTGCCCCCCAGCCTCCTGCCCCCCCAAATTAAGATAAATTAAATTAAAGTGGTACAATATTTAATTCACTAAAATTTACAGACAATTTTCAAATTTTATTAAAAAAATTCAAGAATTACAGGTTTTATAACATTTTAAATTTTTATTAATTCTTTTACTAAATTAAAAAAAAAAATAAAATGGTATAAAATCTGAAATTTTTCAATAAACTTCAGTGAATTAAATATTGTACCACTTTAATTTGAATTATCTTAATATGGGGGCAGGAGGCTGGGGGGCACACTTAAAAACTAACTTTTTTTCGCAAACTTCAATTTAAATTCTGCTACTATGTGGGTCTAATAACTGAGATATGGGTGTGCCCAAAATCCACCAGCCGCCACGACATTGTATTCTTATTCTTCTTAAGTAGTTTACTTACTATTTTTGATAATTTGTTATGTTAAAATCAAGGTTAAAATAGATGTTCGATCAAAATACGACTTTTAACCGAAACCGTAACTAAAGATGTAAAAAAACGGTTTAAAAAAAAACATGAAAAAAAAAACTAGAAAAAAATCGTTATTTTTGTTTTTTTTAAAATCCGCTGCAATAAAGCATATTCTGTCAATAAATAACATCAATCTTAAAAAATGGAGTAATTTTTCAAAATGAAATTTTGAGTAAAATGTATATTAATAATAAAGTGAAATATAGAATATATTACATGTTTCATTCTTGAAAATTTTGACAGAGACTAAAAAATCTGATTTCTTATTATTTGGTAGTTTCCACATAAGAAACCAATAGCAATGTAAAACTTCTACACTAATAGAAAAAATTAAAGAATAAAACAAAATTCCAAACTTTTTGCGATTTTTCGGATATCTTCGTTAAAAATGGTCGTATTGGAGCCGTAAAAAAGCAATTTGAAGCTTTAGAAAGCTTTAGAAAACTAGAGTTTTGAGATTTTTAGATGAAAAACGTGCAACGCTCAATCTTAACTAATCCCGTAATAAAAAAAAAATTATTTACTTAAAAAAATTCCCTAAAAGTTATTTTTCGAACGTTTTTTTTTTATTAAATAAAAGTGCTTTAAAAATATTTTCTCGAAACACCCTCGAATACGTAAACTGTGAAATAAGTATTTTTATACAAAATTTCATAAAGATTGGTAAAGTTTATTTATTAGTAGAGATGTAAAATACGGTTATTTTTTCAGATGTGAAATAAAACATGAAAAAAAACGTGTTTTTTTTTCAAATCCGCTGCAATAAAGCATTTTTGAAAATGGAATTTTGAGTAAAATGTAAAGTGAAATGTAGAATATATGTATTACATTTTTCATTATTGAAAATTTTAACCAAGACTTTTTAAATCTAATTTCTTATTATTTGGTAGTTTCCACATAAGAAACCAATAGCAATGGAAAAATTCTACACTAATAAATCAAACTAAAGCATAAAAAATTTTTTTTGCGATTTTTCGATCTGTATGTATGTATGTATGTGTATCTTCGTTAAAAATGGTCGTATTGGAGCCGTAAAAAAAGCAATTTGAAGCTTCAAGTTTTAAATTTTTTTGGCTTTATTTTTTGGTCCACGGAATGTTTTGACTTAACCACCAATAAATAAATGTTCTACAAGAATTTGCTATTGTTTTTTTGAAAAAAAAAATTCCATACTCTACATGAATTTGAAAAATCATGAAAAAAAGTGCTTTTGGTAGCTTTTTGAAAAATCAAGCTCTGAATCAAAAATATTATAGGTAGTTACTTTTTTTAGGACCAAATCAAAACAAGCGCGGCCCTTATTGGTCAATTCGGTGGAGGGGGCGCGTGCAAAGCGCGATACTGTATTTACATTTACTAAATGTCATTTAGTGGCTAATTTTAGTCCACAAACTGGACTGGAAACATAAAAAATTAGGCAAATGGGACTAATCTTAAAAAAACCCCTAAAAAACAATGAAAAAAAACCAAATCAAACGGACCGTTTTTTTTCAAGTCGCATCAAGTCCGTTATTCAATAAAATCGTCCGATAACAAATGTTCTAATTTTCATGCATCCGTTTTTTAATGACGTTTAACGGATTGATTTGACGACAAATAGAAATTAAGTGTCAGTATATTCACTTTACTAAATTTACCTAATGCTTAATTGTCATAGTTACAATTATGTCAACAATTGTAACTTTAACAGTTAGCTGTCTAATAAATTTAAAGGTAGGTAAATATACCATATAAAAAGAATATACTAGCCTTAATGTACAATAAAATGTATAGTTTAAAAAAAACAGGTCCTTTTAAAAGTTCTAGTTTGAGTTTTTTTTTGTTTGTCTTTTCTTTTTTTCCGTTATTCTTAAATAAAAACATAACCGTAGAACATTATTCACATATCAAACGTAATATTTCCGTTCTACAATCTTATTGAAAAAATATAAAAAGATTTGAAAAGAAATTATCTTAAAATATCGTCAAAAACAGATGTGTAGTGACGGATGAGTTAAAATTATTTAACCTTTCTCTGTCAGACGTACGAAGTTGAAACTTGACGGACCGATAAAATGTCATAATTTTCCAATTATAGTTGGACCAATAAGAGCGCTCCCAGATGAACGGACAAACGTATACATGAAAATTAAGCTTTAGGCGTTAATTTTGACGCGCAGTGTAGACTTAAACAATTTTTCCTTTCACCTTTCAGTATAGCCCCGACAAGTACCACGAGCTGGACGGCGTCTCGAACAGCTGCTCGGGCTCGATATCGAACGAAGAAGACGTGGACGAGGACGAAGGCGAGGGCGAGGCGACGCCCTGCAACTCACCGAAGGAAGTGCGCAAATCTTCGAGCCTCCAGATGAAACCCGGCCTGCTGAGCGGCATGCAGCGGCAAATCGGCAGCCCGATACCGCCCACGAAATCTTCGCGTTCGGCTTCCGAAGAACCTCGGTACTTGTGCATCGAGACCCTGAAGACTTCCAACTTGGGCATATCGCTGGTCGGCGGAAACGCCGCCGGCATTTTCATTCACTCGGTGCAGCCGGATTCGTTGGCGTATCTGGCCGGGCTGAGGACCGGCGATCAGATTATGGAGTACAACAACAGCGATTTGAGGAGTGCCACCGCCGAAGAGGCCGCCTACGAGTTGGCCAAGCCGGCCGATAAAGTTACCGTTTTGGCGCATTACCGAGTCGATAGTAAGTATTTTTTGTATACATTTTTATTTGGATAATAAACAATACCTTGGTCTTCTAGTACTATATACAGTGTGTTTCATTTTTATTGGCGGCAATTCGGTATTTATTTAAAAATAGACCTATTAAAAAAATAATTTTAGTTTGTAGTACCTGAGAAGCTTAATCTTTTAAGAAAAAATCGTCATATCATATGTCATTTCCAGAAGGTCTACAAAAACGTTATTTTTTAATTAAAAAAAAAATAACACCAAAATATATTTAAAATATTCGAAAATATTGAATAAATATTTTTGCTAAATGAACTAAATATTTTAGAAATATTGGTCATTTTTATTTAAATGACTCTAAAATGTTTTACAACATTTAGATGTTCCACTTTTTATATTTATACAATACTTTTTCCTAATAATTTTTAACATTTTTAAAACATTTTTGTAAATGTTTTAGATACATTTTCTTGTTTTGAAGTTCAAAAAGTAGATGTTGTATTCTCATATCAGATACTAAAACAGTGGAATACCATAGCTAGCAGAGATCTATTTTTTGCACGCTAAAAATACAAGAAAATTTAGTTTACGTCTTAATAAAAAATATTTTTTTAAAAAGTTTATTTTATTTTATTGGTTTTCTTTTTTACTTCCTTTTTCTAAATTTAGCTTGAGCCATGGCTGCAGCCATTGTCGTAACTCGGGTAAAATGTTATTTATATAGGGATTATAGTGATTTATTTTGTTATATTTTTATAAAAAAAAGATTATACCTACATATTTATTTTATTTTATTTATATAATATTTTTTCCCTCTCAGTTTCTGTTGTGATAGAGGCTAAAAAAAATTATGAAATTTACCGATTGAATAATCGTCTTCAATAGGGTAGCAATAAATTTTAATGTACCGCCGCGGTTCATTCGTAAATAACAGTCTAAGCAATAAAAATAAATATAATACATACCTCTAGGATTAACTGGATTATTTGATATTTTAACATAGCGACGCACTTAAAATACACTCAACAAAGTAAACATGGCCGAACTGACGCTGATTTGTGGATGACTTTAGCGGCCGAGCCTTAGACAAATAGTATATTACACCACAAGGGCAGAAAGTGTGAGATTCTTGCACTGCAGTTCAGGTCTCTCACACTTTCTGCCCGTGTAGTGTATACTATTTTTCTTACTACCTCGGCCGAAAATACGGGAAAAAATTAAATGTGTATTTATGTACATATCTCCATTTGAAGAGCTTGATAAATAAATAACAGTAGACCGTGAATTCAGCGGTGCCAATACAGTAAAAATAAACGATTGTATTTTAATTAACAAATTACTGCTTTATAACAAATAAAAGTACCATTAAACACTTAAAACAACATAAAAAGTAAAAAAGTAAAAACATAAATTGTTTATTTGTTGTTATAATTGCAAAATTATGGTTTAAAACTGTCATATTTTTGTGTTTCTCATGTTGGCAGTACGAAATTTGAATGTTAAGCACACGACTAAAAAAATTTTTTTCCCGCCATTAGAGTGTGCGCGTATAGCTTGACCAATGCATAAAACGTAAACTTTCTGCCGTGGAATCGGGGACGAAACAACGTATTTTGAGTCGATGGAGTAAGAAAATATCTTTTTATTGAGAGGGCGCTTACATAAGAAAACTTTAAATGAACTTTTCAATAAGTTTATAAATATTGTTAAATATCTTAACAATATTTAGGAAATAATATTTACATAAAATTTTGAATGTTGAAAAAATTTACGTGGTATTTATGAATGTTTCAGAAAGATTTATGCGTAACAGTTAAAAAAATATTTTTCCTGAATCTTCAATCAATTTGGCATACCCAAAAACCCCTAAAACGATAATTTTATAATAAAATTGTAAAAAATAAAGTCAAATTTGGCGAAAAAATCATTTTTTTTTAATTCTAGCAAAGATTTTGCAAAAACATTATGTTATTTCTTTAGGTATCACACGAAAAACACATTCACAAATTAAGGTAAAAAAATATTTAAAAAATAACTGTAATTCAATTACTAATATTAATCTTAAGCCAACATATTAATGCATCTTAAGCCAACATATTAATGCATGAACTATGTATTTAAAGTAATCTTTTAAGTAACAGTACACTTTTGTGTATAGTGCATTCACTAATATTATTCATATAATTAAATTAATAAGTATTTCTATTTAAAATTCCAATATTTTTTATTTTTTTGCCCTTAATTTGTGAACACTGTATAAACTAGAGTAACAAAATTAAGCGAATGCTTAGTTTGTGTAATACCTACAAAAATGACAGAATTTTTTTACAAAATCTTTTCTAGAATTTATGGATTCTTTTCCATATTTGACCTTACTTTTTTACCATCCTGTATAAAATGTTATTAAAACACTATCGTTTTGGGGGATTTTAGGTATGCTAAATTCAGAAACTGTATCCGTTTTTAAATTTAAAAAATGCCTAATAACTAAGTTTTTGGAGTTGTTATATTAATCATAGAAAGCCATGGAAATGACATATGGCCATTTTTTTTCTGGTACAACTATAAAGAATTTTTTTTAAATCATTTTATTTTTAAATATTTAAATATTGTCGCCAATCAAAATGAAACCACGGTATAACCTTCAAATTTAATTTATATAAATTACTCTTTTGCTTTATAAAAGGACAAAATGAGGAATATTATCGAAAATACCGGTATAGTAATATACCGCCGGTATAATACCGGAAATGCAATGTTGTCTCTTTTCGGCCAGAACTATTGGATCAAAAACTTTATTATGTTTCACACTATTTCATAGAGCAATGCGCTCGCTACAAGAGACAAAACCCAAATCACGTATTTTTTTCATATGAACTACTGGAGAGTTTTTAGTTTTTTTTTTGTTACCGGGTTTTACTTTATAAACTTTCTTTAAATAATTATAAGTTATAACTAACTATGTTATTAGTAAACCGAACTAAATAAAATTTGGTTTGTACTTTGAAATCGTCACTTGACTGTTAAATGACCCCTTCACGGGAGTGGCCGTGGGTATTTGGCTGGTACTTATATGAATGACATTTTCAAATTAAAATTGTATTAATTTCTAAAAAATTAACAATATTCTCTTTGTTAATTACAGAATACAACGAGATAAAAGACAAACCGGGCGACAGTCTTTACGTGAGATGCGGTTTCGATCGAACCGGCAACGAAATGACGGAACCGCCCGAACTTTCGTTCGCCAAAGACGACGTTCTCTACGTCGACAACACGATGTTCAATGGCGTGCCCGGTCAGTGGCGTGCGTGGAGGCTGGACGGCGACGGGCACAGACAGCAGTGCGGCGTTATACCCAGCAAGTACAAGGTAAAACCACTAATAAATTATTTTAATTAATTAATTCATATATTTAGCTCGTAATGACATTATTAAGACAGTTATGTCTAGTGTGAGTTGACATTATTAATACAGGTATATCTGGATTAAGTTGACATTAAGACAGTTATCCAGCATAAGTGATATTCTTAAATCTACCATTAGTTGACATTTTTAAGATGGTTGCATCTCTTAATTTAATATTCTTAGGACAGTTGTTTAATATTTAAAGTTTACACTCATAAAATAGTGATATCTTGGCCAAAAAAGACTACACAAATTTTATTAAATTTTTTGTCAAGTTAAATCTACCTTAAAACTACCAAATCCATACACTTAGTGGATTTTCGATTTATGAAAGCAATATTTGCAAATGGGTCATTCCACGATACTCGGTAATTTTTGTCCCGCCCGTCACAATTAAAAATTGTGAGTAAAAACTATACGTTATAAAATTTATTTTAAAATATTGTTTATTATGCTTGCAAGCACAATAAAAATAATATAAAAAATTTTAATATTAATTTAATAACTTGTGGTTTTTACTCACAATTTTTAATTGTGACGGGCGGGGCAAAAATTACCGAGTAACATGGAATGCCTCAAATATACACTCTAGGAAAATGACTCTAGGGGCAGAAAAAATTATTAAAACAAAACAGAATTTTGTAATACTGCACAATAGATGTTTTCGCGGAGCAAATACCAAACTAGTCCCGGACGTTTAAAATGTAAAAACGCTAATTTTAATTCATATTATATAGGGTGCCTCAAATATATCAAGAGATACAAGGTCGGTTAAATTAGGTAAAAGGTACGTAATTATAGGCATATTAAAATGAAATTTATGAATTGAAAAAAGCCAGCGGTTTTCAAAATATTTGAAAAAAAAAGTCGAGACCTAAAATAACTTCGTTATTCCTGAGATTTTTTAAAATAAGTTTTGCATGTATCAACATGGTACTATTACTATAAGTTTAATTTTATTTCAATATTTTTTTATGGATAACTTGACAGAATAAATTTTTGTAGTTATTATTATGCATTTTTCTACTTAAAATATTTCAATAAAATTTAGTATAGGGTCGTTTTGAGGGGTGGTGAATCCAGTGCCGGGCTTACATTTTGTTTAAAAAAATCGCTAATATGAATTCTTAAAAATTTACTCTTAAAAACTGACATTGCAGAGGTTGTATTTTGTAAAAATGTGGCGTTTCTTGGTCAAAAATACACTTTATCAAGATCTACACTTTAAAACAAATCCAGTTAAAATCGGACAATAAATAAATATTTTTATATGAGTGGTATAATATGAAAATTATTATATGCTTAAAAAATACTATTAAGTTAAAATATAACATTAAAATGATGAAAAAGTGCTGGGGACCTGTTTCAGAATCGATTATCAAAATTTGATAATTGATTCTGAAACAGGTTTATATAGGTATTGTAAGCGTTCACACCCCCCCCAGCAAAGAATCTGTAAAAGTTACACCCCAAGTGATAAATGAAATATAACACCACGGCAAATGTTATATTAAATTACGACAAATAAATAAAATAAATACTTACGGTAATAAAGCTCATTAATTTAGTAACCCAAGGTACTTGTAAGGTGTTGTATTCATGGGGAAAGTATTAAAAAGGGAAATAATAAATACAGTAAATAAAAGGCAATAAGTTACGTTTGAACTCAGGTCAAAAACCCGGAAGGCTCCCGTTTATTTTTTATTTAGTATCGCTCATAAAACCTTCCAAAATGAGGGATTATGGGAGTGAGTTACGTATAAAATATTTACAATTTATAACAAACAATAATGATATTTATTTGGATAGAGCAACAAAAATAACCGCAACCCAAACGACATTTAACTTAGTTAACTCTGAAAGAAAAGGACCTCCTACAACCTCTTAAAAACCACACAATATCTCCTTACTGCGACTACAACCCAAATATAAATAAATATATAAATAACATTAGATAAATAATACCTCATACTAGAGCTTAGCTCTCGTTTTTCATTTTTAATTTTTATCTTCGCTTTTTGCTGATTTGTTTGTTTATTTGTTTGTTTGTTTGTTTGGTGAAAGTAGATTGAGTCTTAGTCTCTATTTTTGTATTTTAAATTTAACTTTATTCATCAAGCATTCCATTTGCATTAGGCCTCCATCATCCAAATAAAGTTTTTGTATTATTATTTACTGTTGAATTTAAGTTTACTGTTACATAAATTTTCATGTAATATTTATTAGAGTTCAGGCTCAATCAACTGTTAGAAAAGGGAGTAAATAAATCGCTTCAACTGAGGGTTCGTCATTGTCTATTATGCCTCATTTGTCGGCAAACTTTAATAAATTGATAATTACCATAAAATACTAGGTAAACAAAATGAAACAAATAACAAAAACAATGTAGGCGTCGCACAGTCAGATGAAATCAGATTTTAAACACCGCTTATAAGGGAGTAAATAATAATCGGCTTCGAGGTCATTCCAATTGAGGGTTCGTCATTGTTTATTATGCCTCATTTGTCGGCAAACTTTAATAAATTGATAATTACCATAAAATACTAGGTAATCAAAATGACACAAATAACAAAAACAATGTAGGCGTCGCACAGTCAGATGAAATCAGACCTTTACACACCTCTTAAAATTTACAGGATGGTAATTCAAAATGGGTTCGTTGTGTCAGGACTCCACGGAAAGTGGAGATAAATTAAATGTCGTTATCGCACAATCATTGTTGCCACTCACTCCAAATGTAATACCAAATATTTAAATATGACTGGTAAAATTACTAGTTACGTGACATAAATGTGAATCCGCGAGTACAATTTTATAAATCCCGTATTTAAGAAAATCGATATTAAATACACTTAATTTACACAGCGTTTATAGAAAATCCCCTTTTGAAATATTTATTAAAATTAATTAAATAATCTTAAGTACGATCCTGTCATTTAGCTTAATTAAATCGAATACGGTCCTGCCTATTTTAATTTGATGAAATACCTATAAAAACCTTGCCTTTTTTAATTTGATAATTACTCGTTAAAAATCCCTGCCTTTTATTAGATAAAATACACGTACCAATTGTTTATAACTTAGAATATAAATTATAATACGAAATACCTAGTTTTAAACGTAAATTTTACAGCGTGGTTTGCTTTAAACGGCAGCCATTACGGCTAAATAGATCGAACGATGACGCCAAGTCAATTGATCGAATATTTATCTTTACACAAGGTGTTTGTGTAAACCAATTATATCAAAATGCTCGGGAATATTTATACTACAAAAATTTAGTTATTTAAAACGTACAAACCTACAAATTCCAACACTTTTCTGCAAACACAATTTTTATAACCCTGGTCGCTGCTCGGCTCTGCTTCAATGCTCGAATGAATGTTCTCCCCTGCCCGTCACTTGCGTCTAGCATTCTTTTCCCCTACCTTTTCCCACTTAATCAGGAGAGTCTTTCTAACCAATGGCACGCTACCTTTTATATGTCACTTGTATTTCCGTTGCGCTAAATTTAAATGTTAGTTCTATTTACATGGCTTTTTGAATGCATTTATTTTAAACAATTAGGATCGTAATAACCCACGGATTGTTTATTAGGGGGGGTATTTGCAGATCTCCTCAGTATATATTTAATATTGACCCATCTATCTTTAGGAGTGTTATATCTATTTAAATCTCACTTTTTAAGGCTGTTATATTTAGCTTAAATACAGTCCCACCACTTTATTAGACTTATTAGACAATATTATTATTGGATAATAAATAATATTATTATCTTCTCAGAAAAATGCATTTTAAACTACAAAATTGATTTTTTTTTAAGAATTGCGTTTAAAAATGCGCAGTTTTACGATTAAATTTAAATTAAAAAATTACCTAAAATACTTTACTATGTAGTATCTTAAATTATTATTCTTCACAAAAACGCCCCTTTGGGATTTAAAACTATTTTTAACTTTTTAATTTAAAAATGCAATTTTGTGAGTAATTTTACAAATTACCAAAATTAAAGAAAATTTGTTAGTAAGTTGAAACTCATTTTTAACTTTTTAATTTAAATTTTATTTTTTTAGTTTAAAAATGAATTTTTGTGAGTAATTTTACAAATAACCTAAATTAAAAAAAAAAGTTAAATAAATTGACCAGGGACTGTACAACTACTTAAGTTTCAGATTAGATTTAAAATAATTGGAATAGTTCAAGAACTAAATTGTTCAAGTGTTATATCTTGCTTAAAATGACAGTTTTGTGCGTGTTGGTATTATTGAATTAAGTAAATCTTTACAGGTTGAGGAAGAGCTATTGGTAAGAAGAGGAGCGGATGTAGATGGCGGGAGCGGCAGTAGAGGCAGCACGACCGCGCGAAGATCGTTCTTCCGACGGAAAAAGCACAGGGGCGGCTCGGGGTTGAGCTCGAACAGGGACTCCAAAGAGCTGGCCAGTTTTTGCAATTTGAGCCCGGGCTGGTACTCGGACAGCGGCTCGTTGCACGAGGATTTATCTCAAGTTTCCTACCAAAGAGTCGAAAGACTTCAGTATCCCGAATACCGCCCGGTGCTGGTGCTGGGTCCGCTGTCCGAATGCGTGGCCGACAAGCTGGTGACCGATTTTCCGGACAAGTTTCAACGAGCCGCCACCGACTCGAGGCGCTGCACGCAGGCGCAGCTCGATCGCGATCTGGCCGACGGACACATCGTGGAGTATCGGAAACGGGGCTCTTACTACGAGTGCCTGACTGTGTCCGCTATAAGAACCGTGGCCCAAGCCAGGTAAGATTTTATGAAGCATAACATTTGCAAATTTTATTATTTTTTTTTCTACCGTTGTATATGTTAATACAGGGATGCGGCTTTTACCCTGTATTCATATATTTGAGTTTATTTTTATTTTAACTCAGTATGAATATTCTACTGGTCCTCGAAAAACATATTTGGTGCTGTATTAACATAACTATCGTTTTATTTAGGACATTGATTTATAAAATTATAATTTTGTAATTTAACTTTATAAATCATTCCTTATTTGAAAATGCATATTTTCAATGGACTCCTTTTTGCAAAAAGTACATTTAACGTTTACTTTTATTTTCTTAAATCAATTCAATTCAATTTAATGTTTAGTTTTATAGGTTTGTTTTCTGTAACAAAGGATATTTTTTTATAATTAAAATAATGTTTTTTTTAATTAAAATAATGTCAAGTTATTTATATTAAAATGTGTATTCGAAAAAATTTAAATTTTTCCTAGAAAGGACAATTTTTCCCAGAAAGGACAATTTTTCCAAAACGAAAAAACAGGTTTTTCCCCAATTTTTCCGTTTTTTTTTCGACACTTTAAAATCCCAGTTGGGACCAGGAAAAATAAATACCGTATAACAAAAACGTTAAAACGTATTTTGAGATTTTTTTATATTGGGCTCTAGTGTTTTATATATTTCAATTTTAATTTATATTTAATTTTTTTAAAACAAACAATTCTTATAGAAAAAATGACCTTGTAAATGGATTTTTTATGGGTGCAAGTTTTAATTTTTTATATTTCACTCAATGTGCATTATTGTAACAGGTGGGTAAAAATTTCTCACACAGATCACCCAAAAACTAGATCCTTATTGACGAGTGTTTCACTTTTTTAACAGAATATTATACAGGGTGTCCACAAAGGGTAGGGGGTATTTGTAAGTTCAATAAAAATAAACTACAAGTCAGAATTTTTTTTTTTTTTTAATTTTTAGACAAAGTTTTGGAAAATTAAGTCCCAAAGATTTTGTTGTCCAAATGTTGACCCTCGCGCTGCTGGCATTCCTCTAACCGAAAACGAAAATTAACTATCACGCGTCTACTCATATCTCTGTCAGAGACTGAAAACAACGGCCGGATGTTGTGCTTCAATTGCAGGAGAGTTCGTGGTCTATTTTCATAAACTTTCTCTTTAAGGTATCCCCATAAAAATAATCAAGTGATGAAGGAATCATTGGGCCTTACATTTTTGAAAACCGACGAGGGCTAGCACTTACGGTAAACAGGTTAACCGTTCACTGCAGTGAACGGTATTGCGACATGTTAAAGAAACTTTTTGATTCCACAACTGCAGAAGTTTGAAAGTTTTAATGTGGAAACATGGTTTCAACAAGATGGGGCCCCTTGCCACCCCTTAAATCAGTCACTTAAAGTTTTCAATCAAATTATCCCGAAAAAAGTGATCTCTCGACGTGGCACCATTAACTGGCTTCCGAGAAGCGCCGATTTACACCAATTGATTATTTTTTATGAGGAAACCTTAAAGATAAAGTTTATAAAAACAGACCACGAATTTTTCTGCACAAGATCCGCACTGAAATGGCCGCTGTTTACAGAGATATGTGTAGAGGCGCAATAGTGAACTTCCGTTTTCGGTTAGAGGAATGCCAGCAGCGCGAGGGTCAACATTTGGACAACAAAATCTTTGGCACTTAATTTTCCAAAACTGTCTAAAAATTAAAAAAAAAATATTTTTTTCTGACTTGTAGCTTTATTTTTTATTGAACTTACAAATACCTCCTACCCTTTGTGGACACCCTGTATGTGTATATTTTGCATTTTATCGAGTATTTTACTATGTTAAATGATTGATATATAAATATATGATATAAAAAAATAAGATCTAGGTCATATTTTAAATTTAAAAAATCTATATTAAGAAATATTTGCGAATAATGTTTATTTTATAATATATATTATATTATGCGGGTAGTTTGGGAAATGTTTACTATATTATTAAGTTAAAATTCAATAATTTACAGTGGTAATTTACTTTACGTTTATTGAACCAATCAAAACTCTTATTTGCATGGCAACCTCCTTGGTAACCTGGTACCTGGTAAGTCGATAAGATCATTTTGCATTGACAACGGTTTGTATTGATTTGCTTGTCACTAATTTATTACAAATTAAAATCAAAATAATCGTCTAGTAAATTACCCAATAAAATATAGGTACCTCTATAATCGTCGCCTTACCTTTACACCCCTATTATTATCCCTGGAAACTTAATTGTCCCATGAATATTTCTAAAATCAATAGTATTTTCATGTAAAAATACCATTTTCGAAAAAATTTCTTGTAAATAACAGATGAATTATATTATTATTATATTAAGACGCCTCTTCTATTGGTATATAACTGTTGGAAATACCACGTTGCATTGACAAAGGTTTGTTTGTATCGTAAATCACAAACGTCAACGTATTTCTAGTGGGTATTTTACTCCAGAATTATTCTCCCTAAGTACCTCTTATGCTTAAAAATAAACCAGATAATTTTCATTCAAGCTTGTGGTACAGTTTGCATTCATAAAAAAGCGTTAAAGAACAGCCAGTAATTAAATTAAATACTATTACAAACATGTTTATTTTGCTCGTAATAATTAAGCTTAAGCTTGTAAGCATAATAATTAAGGTAGTTTTAACTCACAATTTTTTATTATTACGGACGCTACAAAAATTGCCAGTAACGTGGAATGTCAGAATTTGAATGAGAGAAAACTGTCACCATCATAATATTGCTTAAAACCGACTTATCACGGACTTAAGTCATTATAAAAAATATTACATACTACACTCACAGGGAAAATAATCGATCCACACAAATTTTTGATGAATAACTTGTTTATTTGATGTCGGAATTAAACGAATATTAAAGAATATTGTAGATAAATTAATGGACAATCGCTCACATTTTAAAAAATTACTAAAAATAGACGTAGGTTTATAATATACAGATTTAAACAAAAAGATGTTTTTTACCTTAAGTTTAAGACACTCTGTAGAGTGGAAAAACCGTATATTGTTCTAAATTAAGTTTTATTTATCAAGTCACATCTATTCTTAACTGTTTTGTTTTTGGTTTACCTCGATATATTTATTTTTGTGGAATATATGAATTTAAAAAAAAAACATTACAATTTCCAATATTTTTCTGTATGAAGAACTAAGGTTGCTATGGTCCATCCATAGGCTAAGGAGAATGACAGTGACAGTTTTGTTGAAACGTCCCATACTTGGACATGTCATACACGGCTTTCAAAAGCTATCAAATTGTTTTTTGCAAATTAATGTTTAAATTTTGAGGTGTCTTCTTACTTTAAAAAATGGATACGTCTCCGACTGATGTTGCCAGAGCCATTAATTTAATCCAGGATGGACGGTCACAGTATTACGTGGCAAGTGTTTTAAACGTCACTAGAAGTAAAGTACAAAGGGCAACATCAGTCGGAGACATTTTTAAAAGTAACACATTTTTAAAAGTAACACCTCAAAATTAACACATTAATTTACAAAAAACAATTTGATAGCTTTTGAAAGATGTATATGACATGTCCAAGTATGGGATGATTCAACAAAACTGTCACTGTCATCCTCTATAGGCTATGGATGGACCATAGCAACCTTAGTTCTTCATACAGGAAAATATTGAAAATTGCAATGTTTTTTTTTTAAATCCATATTTTCCACAAAAATAAATATATCAAGGTGAACCAAAAACAAAACTGTAAAAAATAATTAAAACTTAATTTAGAACAATATACGGTTTTGCCACTCTACAGAGTGTCTTAAACTTATGGTAAAATACATCTTTTTGTTTAAACCTGTATATTATAAACGTACGTGTATTTTTTAGTAATTTTTAAAATGTGAGCGATTCTCCATTAATGTATCTACAATATTCTTTAATATTTGTTTAAATTCGAAATCAAATAAAAAAGTTATTTGCGATTGAAATTCATCGAAAATTTGTGAGGATCGATTATTTTGCCTGTGAGTGTATAATTAAAAGTTGTAAAATGTTATGATACATAAAATATATACACATGTATCGAAAATTTTAGGTTTACATTAATAAATTTCAAATATTTTCAACTATCATAAATTGAAAGATAAAATTTACTAACTAACAATATTATTTCCAATCAATTTTTGCAAAAATTTCAAACCATCATTTTTTAATAAAAATAATTTCTTAAGTACTTAAAGTATAGTACTTAAAAATAGTGTCGAGATATTTAAAAACACATATAAAACATTTTCTACCTATACAATTAATAATCAAAACATATTTTAAATATAAAATGCAAATGTAAAAGTTTAAGTTTAAAATATTGGTCATTTAAATGATAGTCGATACATTTTTAAAACAAAAATTCTCACATTACATTTAAATGTAAGTTTTAAATTTAAACTATTATTTAATAAATGCTAAAACTGCGTGCCATAGCATTTAATGGCCTATACGTATTTTCAACTGCAGATATGTATGGGAAAATTTATTGGAAGAAATGCCAGGATTTTCTAGACCTAGACCTAGACTTGCTTTTCATGCTTTTCATGGAATACTAAAATATTTTATTACAGCATTATTGTACTCTATTCTTTAGATTGCATTGTATGTTGGACGCGTCTGCCACTCAAACACCTTGTATAGAGCGCCTCCACCGTCACCACATCTACCCGGTTGTGCTTCTCATCAAATTCAAATCCACGAAGCAGATTCGCGAAGTGAAAGACACCCGGTACAGTCCGGACAAGTTGTCCGGCAAGGCGGCCAAGGAGATGTACGAACACGGTCACAAGCTCGAAGCCGAGTACCGGCATCTTGTGACAGCTGTGGTATCAGCGGGCGCCAATGTGGCGCACGTCTGCGCCCAGGTGAAGGCGGCGGTGGATTTGGAGCACCGTAAGAGCCAATGGGTGCCCGTCAAAATGATGCACTAGATATATTTTTTAGTTTAGGTTTTAAATCTTTTTGTTTGTTTGTTTGATATTTTAACGAAAATTCGACATTAAATTACCTACTTCCCTTGCTCTGAGGCTTTTTAAAAAAATAGTAAAGCTTGTTTACTAATGGCAATAATAATTATTAATTAAAGTAGAATGGAAATTATACACAATGAAAGTGCCTTTTTGGAATTTGTACTGCCAAAATTTTATACCTAAAATGATATTTTATAAAATTTTACTTGTAGCTTTTAATGTTTTTACACTGTAAGGTGGTTGTATTTTATATCTTCTTTTCTGTGATTACTTTTATTATCTCTCATGTTATAATATTTCTTATAAAGAAGTAAATATATGTATTTATATAACGAAATAAATTGGTTTGATTTTCATCCCCTATCAGATTTTTTAAGGTAAGTTTATTTAATTTATTAAAATGAGGTTTAAGGTAAAAGGCAAAGTAAATTTGTATATTAATTTTAATAATTATTATGACTTTCAGTCATACTTTTTTGGATTAAATTAAAATTTTTACACAAAAGAGTAGAATTTTTCCAAATTAGCCTACGATTTTTGACGTTAAAACAAAAATTATAACCAAGTATTGGAAAATATCAAGTCGCGTTATAGAAAATTTGAGAAAAATTAATTTAATTATTAAAAATTCGATTTAACATTTCTGCACTGTTTGATTTAAATTTTAGAGTACCTAAGTTAGGAAATGAATGCGATGAGCTAGCACAATTTGTTATTGTTATTTATATCATTTTTTAACCAATTTTGCCTACACACAATATTTAAAAAATAATCAAGTATTGGAAAATTCAGAAATCACAGCTTCAACTTTTTGTGCTCGCTTTTTGGGTGACCAAAAAATGTATAAGATATCATTGTAAAATTTTAACAAATTAATAACGTAATTTAATGTTAAAAAACTAACATTGGTAAAATAACATAAAAACAACAATTATCTAACGTATACGTTAGCTATAGCTATTTGAATAATTTTTAGTTGGAAAATCTTTGTATAATTTTATGTTGGTTTATTTTAATTTTACTGATATTGATTAAACCATATACCTATTTTATAGATTATAAACTTTTTCACTACGAAAAATATGTTTTCAGACTTTTCGAACGTTATAACGTATAAAATATATTTAAAGGTGGGATTTTTTTTTAGAATGATAACGACGTATTTTTGATGATCCTTTCAATATATTTTAAAAGTACATTTTTGGGTTTATTTTTACTTTTTAACAAATACTACTTACCTATTTATAAAAATTGTGTTTGGAAATATTTATATTTTATATATATATATATTTATATTTTTTAATGATAATCTCTCAAAAATACATTTTTTGGTTTATTTTACTGTAATTAGGTATAAAAAATAGTTTTAAATAAAAAAAAGTTTAAAAGTGGGATTTGTGTGGGAAAGATAACGTTGTGCGAATGTATGGTTAAATACGTAAAAATAACGTTATTATAATATTGCTATTATATATAATAGCAATAAATTTAACGAAAGTTAGGTTTCACATAAAAATCGATATTCAAACAACGTTTTCGGAAAGGGAGACAACGTTATTTTCTATAGTAATTCTTTAAGATACCTATCTAAAAAATTAGAACCAATCCATATTAAAAGAATTGCAGTGTCCCATATAATATAAATATTTTTAAAATTAATTGTTAAAAAAAAAACGTCAATTGACAAGAATAAATCTTTTGAACCATCTCCATAGATCATTACTGGTGCATATTAAGTAATTAAAATTTTCTTTTTGCATATTAAGTAATTAAAATTTCTCTGGTATAACAAAAAACTGTTGAAACTCCATATTTTTCACTCAAAATCCTTATCAAAATATTACATAAGGTTAATTAATTAAATTAAACAAGGAAGTACCTAACGTAAAATATTATATAAAAGTAACAAAAATATGCATGCTAACGTAAAAAACAAAATATATCTAACGTTAGCATGCTAACATAAAAAAACACATTTAACTAACGTTAGCAAGCTAACATACAAATAACATAAAACTAACGTTAGTTTATACCATATGCTAACATTAAAAACCGAGAAATTTAAACATAAAATTATACACAAAAATAACATTTTTCTAACGATATAAAAACGTTTGTTTATAACATACAATTTCTACCAGGGTATTTTGATTCTGTACAAATTTTAATTCAATTGGCTTAGTGGCGGACATTATTAGGGTTTAAATTATTATTATTTTGTTAAAGTAAGTAAAAAGTTAAATTATTTATTTTATAAACAACAACAAAATATGGTGTTTAATTTAATGATATCAATATTTATACATACATAAAGCACATTGATAATAAACAAATTAACTTTTCTCCAAAATTTGAAGTGATATTATCGAGTAGATTATTTTCCAACTTTCTGTTAACGTAAAAAATCGTAGATATACTTAATAAGAAAATAATAAAAGTAGAATATTTTAAAAATAAATTTTAATGAAGTAATTTCCAAAGGCTTTTAACCGCTAATAAGGGGGTTGCATTATCTAAAGAATTTATATTTTCGTGTAGCGTGAATCGGGTCAGTTAATGAAGACATAATGGGGCGGCGATAGGGTTGGCGGCGACGGTGGCGGCGTCCCGCGGAAATTCATTTTCACAGTTTCTTGTCTCGAACTTTATCGGCAGCAGGAATCTTTTCACGGTCAATACGGGTGGCGGGGACACGCCCCTGTTTTCCGCTTCCCGATTATCAGTTATTAGTTATGTGCTGCAGCCGCCCCCTCCCGGGGGGCGCGCAGTCCAACTCCAGAGGATTCGTTATTAGCATTCGATTTGCACGAACGTCATTGGCGTAGAAAAGAAGTTTTAATAATTACATAAAGTATACAAAAAAAAAACCGTTTTTTCTACATAGTACAGTCATCTTAGTCAAAAAAAGGGATCAACCTCGGAATCTAACGGAATAAGCTGAATTTTTGTGAAAACCTTTATTTTAGCATTACAAATGTTGTCTCAAAAGTCACATATGCCAACGCTTGAGCGGCCTTAGATATTCAAGGTCAAAGGTCGCAAAAATCAGTTTTTTAAGAATATCTCGTTTTCTCTGCCTCCTATCGTATTTGCATTTATTATAAAAGTTGTAGAAAATAAAGTTCTCTACAAATTTTGTTTACAAAATTTTTTTATACGTCGAACCGTTTTTGAGATAGAGGGCGCAGAGTGTGGAGCGCAAGGTAAATCGTAAACCCCAATCTATTATACCGTTTTTTTAATTAATTATTTATTAAATATTACTTAAATAACAATTTAAAACCTTATATTTATTTTTATATATTTTTTTAAAACAGATAGTTCGCTCCACACTCTGCCCCCTCTATCTCAAAAACGATTAGACGTATAAAAAAATGTTTTAAACAAAATTTCTAGAGAATTTTATTCTCTACAACTTGTATAATAAATGCAAATACGATAGGAGGCAAAGAAAAGGATATATTCTCAAAAAATTTTTGCGACCTTTGACCTTGAATATCTAAGGCCGCTCACACGTTTTCATATGTGACTTTTGAGACAACATTTGTAATACTAAAATAAAGGTTTGTACAAAAATTCAGCTTATTCCGTTAGATTCCGAGGTGAAATGCCTAGATGGACCAACATGCAAACATTACAATTCGTATATGGATGTTGTTAATTAATTACTTTAACCGAAAACTGGACCTAAAAAAGATTTCTTAAATCCGTTTCTAGAATATAGGAGGGAAATCAATAGGACCACAAACATGACCTTCACTAAACTAAATTATAATTATATATTAGGGTGGTCCTTATTTAGGGTGTGTTCGAATTTTTCTTCACGATAGTCCTAAATAGGTTCCAAATATATAAAAAAAATAATGTGCCAAATTGCAGCTCTTAATTTTAAAATTAAGCCGGCCCCCCCGACAGCCAAAGTTTTAAATGGAAATAACATGGAAAAAGTTCTTACTTTGGATTTTTTAAGTCATGAACTAATAAACGAATTATATAGAAGGATAAATATTCTTGTAACAAATTTAACGCTCTACAAAAAAGGTTTCTTGTGATTTTTTGCTAACTTGACTGGTTCAAAAGCTATTTGAGGTCAAAATCAAAGTTCTAGTCAATTCCATGGTTTTTCCATTTTTATCGTGGTTTGATGATTCAAAAATGTAAAAAGGGTTATAATTTTTATTCTAGATGACTTTTCTTATCTTGACGTTTGCTCTAAAAAGAAAAATATTTATTGATTAAATATTATTAAAATTTCAATGGGTTAAAAAAAATACAAGATGGTAAGGCGGTCGCTTGGCATGCTAGAGGTACCGGGTTCGATACTACTAGAAGTTGTCGAACTTTTTTTATTTTTTTATTTTGTAAAGTTGTTTCTTTGTTAAAAAGTGTTCGGTTGGGTTGGTTGGTTTGTTTTAGTTTTATCGTAACAAAACAAATCTTAAAATTATGACGTCACTCGGGAGTAAACTTAAGTCCCGCCTCGGGACGGGAGCCACAGCAATGTTTTTATTAAGAAGTTTGAATTTAAAACTAGAGTTTATCAAAATTTTTACCAATAAAATCAAAATCTTTTAACAATACCTATGTCCAAAATATCTTGCGTATCCCAAAATTTAAAAAATCCTTAAAAGTTACGAAAGTGCAAAAATAAAAAAACAATTGGTGTAACTAACTTTTTAGGGTCACGATTAACCTGAAAGTTTTCTAAAAAATAGAACCATCTAAAATATAAATTATATCCCTTTTTACATTTTTGAATCATTAAACCACGTTGAAAAGGGAAAAAAACATAGAATTGACTATAACTTCCATTTTGATCTCGAATAACTTTTGAACCAGTTAGGTTAGCAAAAAATCACAAGAAACCTTTTTTGTACAGCGTTAAATTTGTTACAAGAATATTTCTATATAATCCGTTTATTAGTTCATGACTTAAAAAAATCCAAAGTAATAACAGAACT